TTTGGAAGGTAGGATCATGTGGCTGAGCACTACAAGCAAGTGTGGGAATGGTCTTGGTATCTGCAGAGACAGGCAGATGGATATGTCAAAAACTGGAATGCCAGTACACAGGGCACTTAACTCACTCCCATTCTTTTTCTTTGGCACTGATGACTCATTCTTGTGCAAGGGATGACTGCCAACATTTCTGGCTGTCCTTCTTCACATGAGGGCTATGGTCTTCATCTCCATTCATCAGCTGTATCCATGTCCACCTCACCAAACACCTTTGGTGTGTGACAGTGCAATCATGAAGAATCTCATCAATGTGGGGTAATGGGTGATTATCAGGTATGGTGTTCAGATTGAGTTGTCAAAAATTGTTCACCCAGCATGGTAAGGCCATAGGGTCTGCCTTCAGAATGATGAATGCAGGCAAGGAGTGCATACTATTGGAAGGTTGCAAATGCCCTGCATCAAGGTGTTGTAGTAATGTCTTCCAAGCTTCACAATATTTCTTAGGACAATTGTACAACCAAAGTTGAATCACTTTGTTGGTGTCTTTGGGTTGCACATGGAATAGAACATCATCAGGCAGGGCATCAGTGGGTGGGGTGTCTGCTGGGAAGTGATCCACCCACTCCACCTTAAGTCATGCATCACATTTGGTCAGTTCTTCAATAGCAGCAAGGGCCTCAATGCAATGTTGTACCATGCCAATGATATCTACCCCACAGACCAGGGTGGATGCTACCTCCACAATTTTACAATACCTTGGAAAAACACTTTGCAACTCTGTAAGAACCTCACTCTTAATTTTTTTAACAGTCTGGATGGAGGGAGTCACTGGTGGGGGAGAACTCACAGAGACTGGGGGGTTCATTAAGTCATAGCCAGTATCTTTACTAATACAAGTGTACAGAGAGCATGATCAATAACAAACTCATTATGGGATAGGAATGGAAGGCCCAACAGAAGTGGGGTACACAGCCCAGGTGCAATAATGGTGCAAATGGAGCACAAGCAAAAACATGAATCAGGAGAAAGGCAAGACAGGGTAACATAGCTTCCCAATGACATGACCTCCCTGTCACCAGAAGAAACAGCAACCAACACATTAAGAGACTTGTGCAACTGATGATGCCAGAGACTGAGCTTTGCAGCAAAGGACTCATCAATCAGTACTAGATGAGAACTGCTGTCATTAAGCACTTTTACAGGGAGAGGGAAGGTCAAGTTGGGTCCTTCAAGAAGACAGGACCAGCAGAGATGGGGGACAGAAAGAGGGGTGACATACTCTTCACCCAAGTCTGTTCCATCCCCAAGAGCAGCAGAGGGCATGACAACCACAATAGTGTCCACATCATCTTCCATGACTGCCATGACAGGCTTTGCATGTTTCTTGTGAGCAGCTTCAACATCAGCAGCAGTCAGCACCTTATAATTCTTTGCATCTGGGAAGTTGTTGGGACAGTTGTGCATGGTGTGGTTCTGGAAAAGACAGTGAGACTTGAAACAACCTGAATTGTTGTGGAGAAGCTGACATTCCTCAACAGTAAAGGCAGGTGGGTGCATGCAAGTATGGCCATCTGGCCCCTTCAAGTTCAAAGTCATAGTATTAGCTGAACAGCTTGGCTGGAAGGGTTTCCTCTGGAGGGCTGCATCAAGCTTTGCAGTGTCATGGACACATTTCATTTCTCATCAAGAAGGTGAACCAGATCAAGCCAGGCTTGGAACTGCTTCTCATGACAAGAACTCATCAAATGATACTCTGTAGTAAGATCAGGATGCATGTGAGACTCTAAATGGAAGCAGAGGTGCTCTTCAGTGAGATGAAACTTGCTTCCTCACAACAAGACATTCAGACTTTCTACTTCAACAGCCCACAGGTGAAAGGCCTTATTACCCTGCATCGATGACAACATCTTTTGCTGGATAGCCTCTGCCCAGTCACTGGGGAGCCAATATGAGTGGACCTCATCCATAAACCCTGAGAAGGTGAGGGCAGTAAGGCAACTGCTGTTGTTGCTGATCCAATCCTGTATGCATGGATCCAGGAGATGGCCAACAACCTTGGTGACTTGGACATCCTCTGCTATGTTCTTCAACTGGAAGTAATTTTCACAACCCAACTCCCAGCTTTGCAACCCTTCTGGGGTGATGTCCCCTGCTGTCAAGAAGGGAGGGGTCTTGCCAGGAGTGGTGTTCTCACATTGCACTGTCTGAGCCTGTGTCAAGGACATCACAATGGTAGGGAGAACAACAGTAAAACTATCAGACAATGAGGAGCTATTCATGGAAGCAGGAGATGGTGGTAACAAGGAGATACATGAAGGAGAGATGGGCAGAGATGGGGCAATGCCAGGTGAGGCCATGAGTGGTGGCATAGGTGGCAGGGGAGGAGAGGCAGCAGACAACAGAGACAGCAAAGACAAAGACAGTGGTGATGACAATGGTGTTGTGGACAGAGGGTTATTCCCTCAACTATGAGTAGTCAAGGGTACAGGGACAGAGAGGACATGACAAGACAGCAGTTTGACACCTCTGCTAGGTGTCAACATGCACTATGGCACATTCAAAAAAAGTGGAACTCACCACAGAGGGGTGAGCACACTCAACAGATCACAACAACAACAGAATGTGGACAGGCATGTGGGTTTGAGCAATCAAGCATATATGCTGATACAAGATGATGGACAGAGAGAGAAGGGGAAGAAAGAGAGATATGACCCATGGACACAGACAGCACCAGTATATATACCCTCAGAGTCCAAACAGCACAACACAGGAGGGATCTGCATGCCCGGACGAAAGCGCGATAGGAGGTGTGATAGTGTGACATGTCAGCATGAGCGACATCGATAGCGTGAGTGGCGTGTTAGTGGTAAGCATATGCTTACACATGGCCCACTTTGAACAGGGCTATCAGTATCTAGTCCAACCTTGAGCAGTGTGCCGCCACCCTCGTCCGATCTCGGAGCTACCCTTGGCAAATGCATTGTGCCGCACTTATCTCACGCCGAAGGCCAACTGGAAATGTTTTTCCACGTCTGTTCGTGCGTTCTTTCTCATGGAAGACAACCCGTTTGATTTGGTGTGCACAGGAAAGAGGAAAGAGGGTCCGTATCCGCTATTCCACCATGTCCAGTCTTAACCTACCGAAGGGCTGGATAGAGAGGAATTGATCAATACGGAGCAGCCGTTTTCGCGAGATGAAGCGTCATATTTGGCGTGCAATATGAATCTACGAGGGACCGGTGTGAAACGGTGCCTTTCCTACGTTCGAGAAGGAAGAGTTGCCCTTCACGTAGTGGTCGGCGGCCACTGTTAGACGCTCCGAGTTTGTTGGTGTAAAGGTGAGCGCTGTTACTGAACGTGGTCTGCTAAAGCATGAGGTGACAGTTTTCAACATATTACCGAAGGCGACCAACCGCATCAAACTGTGTCGAACTCAGGCGTCTCTCCTCAATAACCGATTGCTATGTACTCTCAACCATCTGCATGCCTGTATGCGTCTCCTCCCTCTCCTATGAGCCCCATCTTGTGTATAAGCGATATTGCGGATGGAAAAGCAGATCGGGCATGCACACAGACGTTTTTTGCATGTCGACTTGGGCGTTTACTACAGGTGCGGGGAAGGAGAACAAGCTGTGATTAAGGGTGGCCCGGAAGGTTACGAAGACTGGTCTCCTAGTGTCATCGTCAAGGCTGGGCACCCGCGCTAGAAGGACCATCAACATCTGAACTGTACCCAATGCTATTCAATCCTCATTTCGGTCTCGTTGCCAATGCCTGACGCAGTATGGCGACTTTGGAAGCCTCTCGCCGTCGGTGGCATGGGTAGATGCCGAAGCCATTCGCCAAGGCGACCGTTGCGCTCCAGGACGGCTACACACGCGAAACACGCTGGGACTTCTCTCTGGATGTACGCGCCCCAGTCACATTTCCCGTGTAGCAACACTCATTCCATAATCTTTTGTACATATCCTCAGCTCTCACTTGTGTTCGTTATAGATAGATATAGCTAGCGCTGAAGAAGGTGACGGTGGGTGACGAATCAGGTGACTCCAAGCCTCCATAGCAATCTCTTGTTTCCCCTCCGGCCAATTTTCCCGCACTGCGCCCTGCCGGTTGCAGCAGGATCGAACCCAGCTCTCAGCCTTCTGAACACACCCGTTCGATTGAACTCGTGCATCCCGAAAGAATCAAGCCTTCAAATTTTGGAACTTCCTATCCACGCTTTCGCAATCAGAGTATTACTCCAGGGTTCGTACAGGAAGTCGTTGTAGTCAGTAGCTATTGAGATGCTCAGTCCGCGCCCCCTGGCCTCGTCATCTGGACAAGATTCGTTACCTGCACGGATCCTGAATGACGATACAGACGACCACAGGTTGTCTTACAAGCTGCTTTACTTTGCATCGATGCCGTGCGCCTTCCTCCGAATGTCACTGGATATGGGCTTATACCGTCAGCTTCGTTCCGATCAAAGGAAAGATGAGAAATGCGAGGGGGTGGTCTCCCGGGCGACATTACGACGACGACGACCTCCCCGTGATGTATGCTACATAAACAACGGCTCATCCGAGCCCAGGAAATACCAACGTCGCTGGGACAGGCACTCTATCACACTGATGGGAGACACTGTCATTTTAGAAGGAGATCAGCAGATATTAGATGCGAGACAGCTGACGATTATCCGAAAAACACGACATGCGTGTGTATCCTACAAAACAAGGGAATGGGACTTTAGCGTTCGATCAAGGAGAAATGTGTTATAAGAACAGTGCAACAAATACGCTGCAATGCCAGCGATCTAAGAAATTACCCAGGTATACTCTGGTATTGCAAGGTGAACTTTCGTCCTCTTCTTATCCTCCAACGTGCATGTGCTGCCTCGCTCAGGGGTCAGGCTGCAGGGATTCGATTGGGTAAAGTGTAAGGGGAGCGCTGCTCCGAGTCGCCTTCGCTTGTGACATGGCTCCTGCACTGCTGACTTAATCATTCCACGTCCTCGGAGTCCTCGGAGGTGAAGTACCTGTTGACGATACACTCAATTCACGAGACTGGTGATCGTCTGTCGTGTGTGTTTTTGTAACAACAGAGTTCATCCCACCGGCATTGGCTCCAAAGCTCTCAGTAGCACCAGACGTGGGAATCTTCTCTTGCCCAACGACGACGAGGATGCAGCCCGCACCCAACAGCGGACTCGGACTCGACATGCGACCACTGCTGCCATCCTCTGGGCAGGGGCCGTCCATCTCAGCATTGGCTCAACACCAACAGCAACAACAGATGCTACACCAGCCATTCCACATCGCGCCGCCACCAACTTTGACACAGACAACCTTGTTCGTGGGGCCGATATCAGGTGGTATATCAGACGACATTCTCAACAGACTACTCGGGATACGTGCATTAAAAATGGCGTCGTCACCCGCTGACCCGCAGTGTGTGTGACCAGGCGTACGGTCGCGTTCAAACGACTCATTACTCCAGCCACCAAACCACAGGGCTTCGGGTTCGTCGAATACGAAGACTCAGACTCTTCAATAAGGTGCATCAATCTGCTCAATAGCGTCGAACTGCCAGCGCTCGAAGACGACTGTGCAAGCAAAAAAATTGCTGGTGCGTCCTGTACTACGTAGACAGGTGCGCCATTCGCTTAAACTATCATATATACTGTTATGTTTTATACATAATATGCATCTCAGGTCCCAATGGCGACAAACCTGGTCAGGTCGACTACTCGCAGAGGAAGCTGCGGACGGCGAGTCCCGTGTGTACGAAGAGCGCAAAGCAGAGAACCTCCGTATCGAATCCGAAAAGTTTCTCGCCCGTCAAATGGAAGATATGCACGCGCTCGCAGAGGAACAACGCAAAGCGGGGATGTTGCTCGACGACGGTGCACCCGTCAAACTTAACGTCTCGTTGCTCGGTCCCGCACCTGTCGACAAACTGGAGCCGCATGCTCAGAAAGAAGTCGTCAAGGGGGCAGCGGCCGTGTTTGGGCAGGGAGAGGAGGAGGAGGAAGGGGGGATCAAGAAGCTGAAGGTGCCGTTGGTCGAACTTGACTTTAGTCCTGCGGAAGGCGAGAAGGCCAAGGAGCGCTTGGAGACGATCAAGCAGTCCGTTCCGCACGATAAAGAGGCGCTATTCAAGGTCAAAGTCGGATGGGATGGTCTCACCGACGTGCGTCTCGTGTCAGATCACTTTTTTTTTATAATGCTTACATTGCTTTTGTTCGGATGATGATTGACAGGAAGTTTGAGCCAACCATCAAGCACCGGATGGTTAAGTATCTGGGTGAACTCGAAGATGACGACCTAATCATGTTTGTGGTCGAACATCTCAAGGATCACAAGGGTCCTCAGAAGCTCGTCGAGGGTCTCGAACCTGTACGCATGTATTCACGCCTCAATCTTTGCTTCATCTTATAGTTTCATCGCAGGTCTTGGAAGAAGAAGCACAGGAATTTGCGATCAATATCTGGAGGCAAGTCATCTTTGAGAGCATGGCTTGCGGCGAAGCTCTTCAAACCGAGCGCATGACGATCGATTAAGCGGAGGATGGAAGGACGACATTGGTTCTTTGCGTCGATGGTACCCGTAGGGCCAGGTGCGTTGTAGCATTGGCATGATTTCTGCTAAAAGATTGTGCGTGGTTTCGAAGACTTGTGGTCCAAATGCATGCTGTAGGAAGGAGAGTGGGTAAGTGGGAAGGGGGATGTGGCGGTTGATATGATGATGACAGTGATAATGAATCCACGCGCATTCAGAATCAGATTCGGGTATTCGTAAGTCCGCCCTTGACTAATTTTACCTCGAATGACTTACTTCTCTCTTCTTTCCCTCCATGCAAAATGCGAAAAAATAAAAATCATTGTCCGTTGTTATGGTGAATGAGGAGAAAATGAATTTTTGTGAGCTGTGGTTAACTATGTGTCAAGTGTTCATCACTTTTCTTTTTCTCCCCCCCAGTAACCGCTTGAATATATCAATCGTAACTCCTTGACTTGAGCACGAATTCGGCCGTGCCTGCACCCGAGGGCGCAGGTACATAATAGAAAAGCATCGCTTGGCAGTGTTTCAAAATATTTTGGCCACTGATATGGGTCTGGAGTGTGTCGCTGTGTTGAGCTCCACTGTCGTCGTTGGAAGTTGCGCCTATTAGAATCTCTCTGGCCATCTACATAGCGCTATAGCTATTCTCGTCCTCGTCATCCAGTGCGCTGTGCCTTGAAAGGATCGCCGAGCGTTCACTGTAGTAGTCTCATGGTTGTTTGGTAAAATGGCAAGTCTCGCTCACTAGTCATCGTGATTATGCATCACGGGCGGACACGCTCAATCGCATGGTATGCTTCACGTTAATGTGAGCTAACTCTCTTGAGCTTTTCTTCTCATGTAGCGCGTGCTCTTTCGAAGGATCGTCGAGCGCTTATGAGGTAGTCTCGTGATTATATCGGTGAGAGGTAAGTCCCGCTCAGCGCCAATTGTTCTCGAGCATAAATGGCGTTTCTCCGGTAAAATTGGGGTCTCCAGTTTACTTCGTGATCATGTACATATGACCGTTGACAACCGAACGAAGCTGATGCTGAGAAAGTCCCGAACGTTCCCTTTCATGGGTGCTCGGCTGTTTTGTGGTCAGCAGTAATATTGGGTAGGTGCATCTCATCTCCGGTGATCATGGATATCCGTGTTCGTGAATGTTCCCTTTGAAAGTTGGACAACTGCTGAGCACGTTGGTGCGATAATTTTGGTAGACAAAACAGGAGTCAACGTGGACCGGTATGGTCAGTGGATACGATCGCGAGATTAGATAGCGACTAGTAACTACTGATCAAGAAGAATTTTCCGGGGAGAAGCGTATTGCGCGTTGATCTGATCGTTCGTTCGCGAAGGCCTGTTTTGATTGCCATGAACGGATGCGTTCGTACTTCGTACACTACTGTTATTTGACTTGTAACTTCGACGGCAAGTCAACAACTGCGAGTCCATCTGTGGGCTAATTTGGTAGACAAACGTTAGAAACGTTCCCAAGCCGGTGTCAGGACTCAGTAGGCCGGGCACACGTCGGTTTAAAATAGCCCCGTGGGGCTCAATGATTAACACTGCCATGGCTATATAAAAACTCACACAGCGAGCACCGGGACGAGGAGGTGGACGGGAAAAAAGCCCCTCACACATTCTCATCGTAACCAGGGACCCCCGTCATATCGACGACTGTTTAACGGCCACCACTACTCTCGATGATAATGATCGCGACGCCCAAGTGGACAGCACTCGCTGCCCTTTTACGACTTGCCTTGGCTGCACCACAGGCATCAACGACCGACGACGACGACGACAGATTTCTTGGAAACGTCGGTTCCGACTCTGACGGTTTCGACCTCGGTGCCTAGTCCTACAGCACCCCTCACAGCTACACTTCCGTCCCAGGCATCGTTGCCCCCTGTTCAACCATGGTGTATTGGTCAAATCTTTTGCCCTGGCGCGGTCAGTGCATCTGCATTCCATTTCTCCGCTCGCCGTCTTACCAACGAGACCTGCTAGGTCCTCCAAACCGTCAACATCGCACAACTCTACTCCGATCCCAAGACGTTCGTCGACAAGCCCACCAGCAAATCTGCGCAAGAGGTTCTCGCGGACTTCGCCACGTTCAACCTTTCGACCGTGACGGAGGGCGACCTGGTTAACTTCGTGGAAGACGATTTCTTGGGAGAAGGTCTCGAACTCGAAGTTGCGGAACTACCGAATTTCAACGCCAGCCCGGCCTTCTTGAAGCAACGCCACGGACCCGCTCCTTAACGCCTTCGCACAGATCGTGAACGGGTATTGGACACAGCTCGCACGCAACACGAACCAATCCGCTCTTTGTGATGACTACCCCAATGGCCAATGCGAGAGTACACTGATTCCTTTGAACCATACGTTCATTGTTCCCGGCGGTCGCTTTAGAGAACAGTGTCGGTAACCCGTTCCTTTCCGTTCTGAAACCATAACGACGACTCAAGAGTTTTGACTTGACAATTTGCGTAGATTATTGGGATAGTTACTGGATCATACAGGGTTTGCTGAAATCGGAGCTCTATTCCACTGTCAATGCGACACTACAAAACTTCATGGATGAAATTGAGGATTTTGGATTCATCCCTAACGGAGGACGCACGTATTGTAAGATCGCAGTCTGCATCTATTTCTATGATTCATCTAGTTGATGATGAACGCTTTCGTAGACCTTGACCGTTCCCAACCACCGCTTTTCGTTAACGTGAGGAGGAGAGGTGGTTTGGATGTATGAGCTGGTGCTGATCATTCGGATTGCAGATGGTCTATGACTACGTTGCCGTTACGAATGATACTTCCGTTTTACAACGTGCGTTACCGCTGGCGGAGGTGCGTGTCCTGTAAATTTCTCAAGAGCCTTCTTTCGATCCAACCTGTTTAGACCGAGTTGGCATGGTGGGCCAGCAATCGCACCATCGAGGTTACGAGCCCCTACACAAACCAATCTTACATGTTAGCCCGCTACTCCGTTAACAATACTGCACCTCGTCCGGAGTCGTATCTCACAGGTTAGCTCTCGTGTCTTTTATGTTGGGAATCATGATCTCACTTTTTAATTCAATCGCAAGACTACCTCACTGCGAATGACCCCACGTATGGGACACCTCTCACGCAACAAGAAGCGGAGGCCCTGTACGGCGAGCTCGCTTCTGGTGCAGAGAGCGGCTGGGACTTCACGGCCAGGTTCGAAATGGTTCCTCAGTACGGCGATCCTGGCCTTCGCACGTACAATATCAGGAACACGATACCCGTCTGTCTCAATAGCATCCTCTGTGAGTGCATTCATTTCCTGACATCGTTCCTCGAACTATTCCTGACGTTTTCTCACTTACAAGACAGGGCGCATACACTACTGGCCGAGCTCTACGGAGACTCTAACTCTACGGCCGCCACGACCCATCGCCAAACTGCGGCTAACATCCGTGCGGCCATCTTAGACTTGATGTGGGACGCTGGCAAACTCGCGTTCTACGACTTCAACATCACGTCGAAAGCGCGCAATAGCTTCTTCAGTGTTGCAACGTACTACCCAGTTTGGGCCGGCATCATTCCAGACGAAATCCTTTCGTCGCAGGCCAACGCGTTTGGATATTTTGCGTCGGTTAACCTCGTGATGAACAAGTACAATGGCACAGGTCCCCACCACTTTTCGTAGATTGGAGCGGACAGCAGTGGTGGGTCTTGATGTAGCGGACTAATGTTTTCACTCTACTGATCGAAGCATTTGGTAGGGACGCTCCTAATACGTGGCCTCCTCACCAATACATCGTCTTAGAAGCTCTGAATGCCCTCCCATCCAATCTCACTACTAACACGCTTCCCACTCCAGGTTCCGGTCAATCAGCTTACGACCTCGTCCCTTCCGGCCAGCTCAACTTAACCGAGTCGCAACTACCTGGCCAACCCCTCCGTGGTGCCCAGGCATCAGAAAACGTGACGGCCACCGGACCAGGTGCAGACATAAATACGCTCAATGGGACTGTCGTAAATGGTGGGAACTCGAGTTCAGGTGAAGGTTGGACAGCAACGTTGGGAAGGGAAGTCGCCAATAGATACTTTACGAGCGTCCTCTGCAGTTGGCATGCCACAGGAGGCTCGATACCCGGGTTGCTACCACGCCTTCCTAACAGCGAGCTCAACCTCACAAATAGCATTAATAACACGGGCAACGTGAGTCATTTCCCTTCTTGTTCCCTCTTTTGACGAGCCAAATTGCTAACGAGTTGAATGAACTATGACATGCAACAGATGTATGAGAAGTTCTCAATTCTCAATGTAGACTCTTCGGGTTCGGGAGGGGAGTATACCGTTCAGGCAGGGTTTGGCTGGACGAATGGAGTCTTGCTCTGGGTTGCGGCTAACTATGGCCACTTACTCGTTGCACCAGAGTGCCCAATGCTCGTAGCGATGACCACCAGCAGTTCTACCTCGTCTAGCGGCGCGATGTCTTTCGTGAGATCCTCATCGCCTGCCACCGTCATGCTAGCTGTCTTGGTCTCCCTTGCAATTTCGACTCAGTTCACATGGGTATAACGAGAGTACTGGGGATGATAGCCATACGAGGGTGCCGAAGTAGGTGAACGGGTTCATGATTGGCTTGTCAGTGATTGCATGAGGGATGATGGACGAGGCTTCCATTGCTCTAGCACGACATAATAGCAGTAAGAGATCACTTTTTCTTTCCAAATTCAGTATTAGGGGGTACTACTGTAGTGTAACGATTCACGGTCGTACACGACTGCATGCGTTTCCTCCGCCTCCTACGAGCTCCATCTTGTGTATAAGCGATAGTTCGGACGGAAAAGTACATCAGGCATGCACAAAAACGCTGTTTGCAAGTCGACTTGGGCGTTTACTACAGGTGCGGCGAAGAAGAACAGCGTGTGCTTGAGGGTGGCCGAGAAGGTTACGAAGACCCTAGTGCGATCGTCAAAGCTGGGCACCCACGCTAGAAAAACCATCAACACCTGAAGTCTGCCCAATCCTCGTGTCAGTCTCGTTCCCAATGCCTGACGCACGATGTGACGCTTCCCGATGGGACATCCGTGAGCTTGGATCAATGCTGTCGAGTGCGACCTTCGAATATTTGACATCAAGCCCCTGAGTCCGCTTCGGTATGGGATTGCCATTGTTTTTGGGCCAGTAACATATGGTCGATGGATAATTTCCCATCGTCGGAGAGGATGCAACTTGTAAATACAGCTTCGACTGATGGCTGTGGGAACGGTGCGCGGTGAAGGCTGGCGAGACTGTTATGAGAAGGCGTAGATCCCATCTGTAGCAGTGATGATGATGCCTTGAGTTCTTGAATGTCACCTTAATAATCATCGCACAGAGCCGAGTAGATCATCGCGTCGGTCGCAGCTTGCTCCGGGGTCACCATGAAATTGTCGTCAGCTGAAGCACTGGAATTTGAAGTAGTGTCGCAGTCATTATCATCAGGTTCGCCGTTCAACGCTTCTGCCTCTCGAACTGTCGCCGTGTGCTTGTGGGCCATCTCTACGGTACCAAGGGGCGCTAGCTTGACATGTTTGACATCAGGGTTTGGCACACGGATATTTAGAATCTGCCGACAAATCTGTGAAGCCTCACGGAAGGCTATTAGCTCAATCAGTGAAGTGACATTTTGGGGGGTGAGGTTGACACGAGCAAACTGGGCCTCATCTGGTATCAGCGGCGAAGGATCGTACTCCATGATATAGCCAGCTGCAGATTCGTCCCCTGGCCGCTTCTCACGGAAATGATCCATAAGAAGGAAGCGTTGGCAGACCATCACATTTTGGACCGTTTTCATGAGCTCGGCGTGTGTGAAGTCTGGAAGCAACGTTCTAGCTAGGCCATAGAAGTGTTCGACGAATTCAGTGCCGAGAAGCCAGGGACAGAAGGGGATGTCTCGGTAGAACTTTGCATATCCCAGGATCGGAAGTAGCATCGAGTCGCATAGCGAGTTGAATATGTGGAAACATTGAGGAGATATGAATGGCCGTGTTATCGAGTAGAGATGCGGAAACTCCACTGTAGTCTGACACCTGCCATGAGCTCTGCAATGCAGGGCCGAACATCAGGCCTTCTTAGCAAATTCTCGCCGCCAAATCCGCAAGTTTGGGCGGAAGATTTTGTCCATTTTGACCCTCATATCCGCAATTTTTGGGTCGAACATATAGGGGATTTGCCCGGATCCTGTTTGGCCAGCAAAAATGCACGATGATGTTCAAACACGGACTCCACTCCATGGTGTACGCTGAGGAATTGTTGCCCACACGCCTGTGGTAGGCTAGTGCTAGTAAGTGTGTTGCTGGACATCTTGACTTGTACTGGTAAGAACTTTTGGTAAGACCGACGTCAGCAAGAAACGAGTCAATGTGTAAGTAAGGCTCACGACGGGCACCAATAGCCTGTGTGCGTTCAGTAGTCGTGAGCCATTACGGTTTCAACGCCGTTTTACACACTGGCACACGAGTTTCATCATACACGCAAATGAGGGGGTTCCACTTGAATTTACATAGTTACCGAGTTCACGTCAACGCTCTTTCGTAACACGTCCCCAATGGTTATGACGTTACACGGCCTCCCCAAAGCCAACTTAGCCAACTCGACCGACCTCTACCCGTCTGTCCGTTCCTCTGGAAGTAATCCTTAAGAGCAGATTCCAGTGGTACATTGATATGTCCGCGAGAGGGGTATTCGTTCCTTAATACTGCAATGAGTTCCTCTCGCGACTTCTGCGATTTTTCTTACAATCCGCATCCTGCAACCCAGTGACACAGACATGTCTGGTCTTACTCATACTCGTTCCAAGTTTGTCCCTTGTTCCGCCTCCACCAATCTTCCATCTCCTCCTCCTGCTCCAAGTGGTTAATAACGAGCACGATGGGAATGCGTCCTCCGAATATACCGTCGACGAGTTCGAAAATCCGCTTTGTCACAACTGTCAGCTTCTTTCCCCGCATGCAAAACAAGATAACGTCGATTCTAGCGTGGGCTTTAAGCATAGGACCCAATTTTTGCTCAATATCAGTGGCGTCCTTCATGGGGTCATTCTTTGGCTGATTGAACCCGGAAACTTCCCAGATATGCACTTTCATCGACTCGACCGTGGCTTCAGTAGTTCAGGTCGTACTGGCGCGTGCAAACCTCGGCGTTGGAAGAGACCTCGGCGACGTTTTTCCCCGACTGATAAGATTAATCACGGAGCTTTTACCGACTCCTATCTCTCCCAAGATCCATGACTCTGAGAACGGCATCAGTTCACCATGATTGCGAGGAACTGAGATTTGAAAGAGGGGTGTAGCTCTCTCGGGTAGAAATGCAATTGCGAACTTAGGGTGTCGAGTGATGACGCTGCGGAAAAACAAATGAATGCAGGGAAGTATTTCACGACAAGCTCGGCACTAATAGTGCTCACTATTCACAGTGGACACAAAGATCTTGACTTGCATACAGGTTGTCCGTGTGTCGCTGCTACCCCACCCGCGTAACGATGCGATAAGCTGTATGTAATGGAAAGGATCGGGGAGTGAATATGCAAAGCCATGAAAGATGGTCGCCAGCTTGTCTTTAGTACGTCTGCCATGCTTTTTCCTCGAGGTGGTACGAGAGTTTCTCGATGCCGACGTCATCGTGATAGGCGCCCCTGACAGCCCTTTACAACAGACCTCTGATCAGCTGGTTGAGCCCTCACAGTATGCGGAGGTACTCAGGTGATAGAATGCTCTACGTTTCAACTTTCCCTGTACCTTTCACTTTAGAATCACTGTCAGGTCTTAGGTCATCTCCTGTTATAACGGTGTGTCCAGCGTGAAGGAGTAGCCAAGCGCTCCACTTTCCTTAACGTAGCCATGCACTCAGTTTTAGACGTGGTAATACCCCGTCTTCAGCGGGCAGGGTTGAACAAGGTAATCATCACGGCCGAGTTCCGTGACTACGAACAACGCCGACAACTTTCAACGGAGGAAGGCGGAATAGTACACGCTATGGTGTCTAACTAACTCGGGTTAACCTCTATCACACAGGCATGAACACTCCATCTCCGTTTCTCTGCTTACTAAGGACGGAATCTGTAGACGTTCGGCTGATCCTGGTATCCTATAGAGTACGATAACAGGGTTCTGAGTTCTTGTACAACTCATGCGTCGAATTTATTCTTTGAATGACAAAGATTCCATCGATCCGCGCTCCTGGTCCACGCAAGGCAGTTTCGTCATGAGGTCTGGCCATGAGATCCCAACAATACAAGAAGGAAAATACTGTACATGATCTATACTAAGTGAGTCTTTGCAAAGTATATAAACTCGAGTGCGCATCATATAGAATAGCTGCGGGTCCGCAGTGAGTATTACTGATTCTTACATAGACATTTGGAAGACCCAAACGCACCTCGGTACTGTAACGTGTTCCCTTTCAATCTCGCTGAAGTAATCGCTGGGCGACCCCCTCATCCAGCTTGAACTGCTTCATTAGTGTCCTTTTTTTGTACCCTCCGTTTTGTCGAATGTGCTCCTTGAGAACAGATTCCAGAGATATGGTATTCCCACCCCGCGAGTATTGGTCCTCCAAAATCGAAACGAGCGACTCTCGCGATTTCTTCGATATGGCCGCGTACTTGGTACCCTGCAATCCAGTGATACAAGCATGTTCGGTCCCTTGCAACCCCATCCTGGTCAGTGGTTTCTGGTTCCGATCCCACCAGTTCTTAATATTCTCCTTTTCCAACTCCAAACCGGTAACGACGGACACAATGGGAATGTGTCTTCCAAGGACATTACTGACGGATTCAAAAATCCGTGTAGTTGTCATCTTTACTTTGGGGCCGAGCATGCACAACAAGATGACATCGACTTTGGCATCGGCATCGGCATTGAGTATGGGACCCAACTCCATACCAAGCGTGGCAGTATCTTTCCCGAGATTTTTTCCTGTATTTGAGTCGGGCTCGTTGAACCCCTTAACTTCCCAGATGTGCACTTTCATCGACTCGACCGTCGCTTCGTGTCTGGTTGTCTTGAGCGTACAAACACCGGTTCCGGAGGAGATCTCGGCAACGTTTCTCCCGACGAGAAGGTTAACGACCGAGCTTTTGCCTGATCCTATCTCTCCCATAACCAAGACATTGAGAACCATTTGCCGCGACAGGATGGGGTTGGCGAAGTAACTCCCTCCCAGTTCTCCCCGGGGGTATGCGTGCAAACGCGAGACTGGGCAACCAAACGATAATGCTGCGGAGAAGGAATACGATAGCAGGGAAAGCATTTCGCAACGAATTTCAAGATGTATAGCGCTCTCCACTCACCAGTGGCAGAAGGCACTGGGCTCACGTATAGCCTAAATTCCGCTTAGATGTCGGCAGTGGCCCCTCGATAAGCTGCCTCGGCTGTTTGTAGGTGACGAGGGATCAAGGTGCGAATCTTGAAGCACGCAGCAAAGGAGGGCAGTGTGTCTTTGGCACGTCCGCCGCACCGTTTCCTCGAGGCGGCTGGGTTGGTATCATTGTGATAGGCGCCTCTAGTAAAAATTAACCCTTCACCACAGGTTCAATGCACTTTTTATTGTCTACGGGAGGATCAAGGTTTTTACTCTGCGCATCTCGATTGCGCCGCTGAACAGCGAGGGATTTTGCAACTGGTCTCCAGAACTTGCCGATGTCTCCATTTCGGTCTCCTCGGCGGCCAAGCAATACAGTCTATCATCTACACGCCCTGTTAGATATACGGTGGTATACTTCTGAGTACCCCTACGCAGACGCGTCCTCTCGAGAGTCTGCCTCTTCTTCAGCCAACAGTCGTTCAACCTCCAACGCAGCCATACACCCGCTTCCAGCACTAGTAATGGCTTGTCTGTACCGCTTATCCTGTACATCGCCGGCTGCGAATACACCTTTGACACTCGTCTGCGTACTACCAGGGACAGTGACGATGTAGCCGTCCTCATCCGTCTGCAGCTGGTTCCGTACGAGTGCTGTGGCAGGTTCGTGACCGATGGCATAGAAGAGTCCATTGACCGGAAGATCCCTCTCATCACCGCTAAGGACATTCTTGATGTGAAGATTGTTAAGGAGATCACCGTCGCCTTGGCATTCGAGTGCGACAGTATTCCAGAGGATCGTCTAAGGAAATGATAAGGACGTGCTCGCACTGGGAAGAGGGAACTTACTATCTTGGGGTTGCTCATCAAGCGCTTAGCCATGATCTTCGAAGCACGTAGTTCGCCTCGACGAACGAGTACGTAGACGTGCGAGCCATACTTTGTGAGATCTAGATCGAACTGGTCAAAAAATGCATGTCTGCCTCAACATATCACACATACACGTTGCTTCTTCGACCGCAGAGTCGCCACCACCAATGACTGCGAGTGGCTTGTTCCTGTTCAAGAAGTACACAACGGCGAATTCATGAGCTAATAAATATCGGGACTTCGGGCGTATGAATACCTGAAGATCGGAACGGCACCATCGCACACGGCGCAAGCAGAGATACCACTTTGCCAGTAGGTTTCTTCACCCTTGAGGTGGAGGCGCTTAGCACTTGCACCTGTAGCAATGATGACGGTGTCGGCGGTCTCCGGTTGTTCAGATTCTTGTCCTTCGCGCCAATAGCGGAAAGGTCGCGCGGACAAATCGATCTTGGATATCGTCTCTGTGATGACCTGTGTCCCAAACCGGATTGACTGTTCACGGAATTTATCCATGAGTTCTGGACCCATGATTCCGTTGGGGAAGCCGGGGTAGTTCTCGACTGTGAAATTAGGTTAAATATCGGAAGCTGGAATTCCACAATCATGACGCACTGACTTTCCGTCGTCGTGGTGAGCTGACCGCCAGGAGCGAACCCATTTGCCATGAAACCCTCGAAGAGGACGGGGTTCAGGTTAGCCCTTGCGAGGTATAAGGCAGCGGTGTGACCAGCTGGACCTGAACCGATGATCACCTAGGTGTGCGTCTGTGATCTAACTAGATCTACTATGAAGATGGGTTGAATACACGCACAACTTTGGAATGCATCTTGGTGCTCCTAGGCACAGTCCCGTTTGTGATTGGTTCCATGAATGATTTTGAGCGTGTTTCGGTGTTGAATAGGATGGAAGAAGAGAATGCGAATGCCCTGAGGGCCGAACGACAGCGTAATAACGAAAACAGCTTCGCTACTTATTTGTAAACTCGCCGGTGATGGGACTCGTAAAGATCACTGAGCAATGAGTAAGCAAATGGCACGTGACAAAGCATTGCACGTGATACTAGCGCTGGGTATGTACCAGACGTGAACGGGAGGATTTCTTGTTCTACATACGTAGTAGTAGGGAAATTCAGAAAAGCAAGTCCCCCGTTGAAGTATTGAATGGTGGACATTTGTTACTGCTGTGGGTGCTGCGGGTGATTTGATGGAGGTCATAATTACATAGCCAAACCCTAACCCCGCGCTGCGTACGCTGCTCGCTCACCCTTGCTGCGTTTTGTCGGTAATAGTCCTAACACCGTCGCTCTTTCATTTCTATTCATATTCCTGCGGGATGGACTACGACAGAAAATCAACAGTCTCGTCCTTCTATGGCGCTCGCCGCTCGACAGACGTCCTGAATGCAAATCCACCGGCAACAGGCCGCGGTGGCCAATACGCAGCGCCGTCAACCCGCCCCCGTGTCGACTCAGCATCATCATTCTATGCTGATCGTCAGTCCAGACCTTCTCACGACGTTCTCAGCCACCAGGGCCAGTCTGCAGGATATAACGCTTCTTCGTTTTTTGATGTTGGCCGTCAGGAACCAGTGAAAGGGGGTGCAGACGAGCAAGAGGAGGAAGAAGAAGAAGAAGAGGGAGAGCCTCAAGCGGACTCTTGGGACATTTATGCTGACTTTAACAACGTGGGACCTCGGTATAGCACAGCGTTCGGTGTCGGTCAGCGGCAGACCCAGGATTCCAAGTATGTGCACTTCCTTCATGGACACCTCCCGAACTAGTGTTAACTAATTTCCGTTACCCTCACGTAGCTACCACCAACTCCCGTCGTCGATCCCGAAAGCTGCACCAAAATCCGAAGTGGACGTAGAAAGTGCACTCGCCCCTGTTGAGTTGGTCACCGTTCCAGCGTTGGGTCCCGAATGGCAGCGCTCGGAACTCAAGAGCATGACCAAGTCTGGGAAGCGAGAACTCAAAGGAGCAGAGAGGAAGGCCAAATGGAAAGCTTGGAACCGTGGCGATATCGGTCTCTTTGGCACAAAATGGTTTACAAAAAAATTCCTTGTCTTCTCCGTGTTTGGATTATGCGTGCTGTGAGGGAATTTGGCGCCTTCGTCCGTTCGGTTTTTGTTTTTGCTGAACTATGGGACACCTACAGGATTGGCATTACACTCGCAATTACCATCCCCCGAGTACCAGCGATCACCTTCAGCGGATCAAGCGCTCTTACACAGGAATCGGGTTCCTTCAATGATTCGATCCCGACCGAATTCTCGCGTTCCCCTGCCAACTTCTCCTTTCCTGCTTACGCTAATGTTCAGGTCGACACAACTAGCAACATCATCCCTCTCACCTTCAACTCCATTGGCGCAGAAGTATGGTACACGAGCACGAGCATGCAGGTCGCAACAGGATACTTTGGAAAAAAGACTCTTCCAGCCAAATCCTTCCCTGTCATCCAGATACCTCTCAACTTCTCATATGTAGCCACTAACGACTCAGATCCCACCTGGGTCGCGTGGTATGATGCATGTAGAAACTCTGCAATCGATCAGAATGGCGTTCGACCTGGTACGTCTTACATATGTATTTTCGATCCCAGTTCACTGAGACTTGTTTCCGTAGGTGTCAACTTTGAGCTTATCCTTACAATGGACATCGCAGGGTTACCCACGACCCAAACTGCTTCCGCGCAAGCGGCCAATGCGGACTGTCCTTTCGAACTTCCTGTTAACAGTCAATAGGATTCTTCCGTAAGCATTCGGCACTCTACTTGCCCATAGTCCCTTCTCTCTCCCTTCTACCACCTCTCATTTTGTCATGTCATCTTGTTCTTTTTTCGGGGATATTCATTGTTTATCTGCCTACAATATGCTAATATTCATTGGACAACTTCAAATTCGACGGACTTCAATCGACCGCATAGTTTTGCTGCGTGCATTTGCGCACTCTGACTGTCTCGCTAATGTCACTGTATGGGAAGCACTTTCCGCTATCTACCAACTAGCAGCAATTCACACAGATCAAGTTGCAAGCCTTGTTTCGGGGCTCATTGAACTCCCACCAATGGGGGTTTCATTTGAGCCGATACATTTGGGGAGTCTGCAAGTGTTCCTATGTCCCATCTTTGCACTCCGAATCTTAAAGCTCGGAGTAGGAATCTGTTTGCCATCGTAATGTCTCGCATTTTTGCAGAAATGTCCTAACATGTTTACATCCTCATCTGCGGTGATACTGCAACAGGCCCATCCTCTTCGCCGTTTACGACCCCATGACATAACAGACACGCCGGGAGTCAGCGAGGTGTAGTAAAGCGTCCCTGCTCTAGTACTCCTCCTGCTAATTTGTTAACCATCCGATATTGCTCGCCATTTGGATATTTGAACAAGACACCAGTGATTCACAGCAGGCGTAAGTACAGGACAACACCTGGGAGATTGTCACGGTGAGTACATACATACATAATCGCTCCAGAGCGTAGCGACTCCCTCGCAGGTAGCTCTTGAAGCTTGCTACATGATCACGCTAGTTCTTTAACGACCGATTATAAGCTCTTCGTAAAATGCCTACACACATCATCTCACATCTCTTTCTGCCTCCTCCCCCATCTTGACTCAGGCAAGTGCCATTCTCTGTCACCCATCTGGTCCAAATCACAATCAAACTCGGTACCAATAGTTATTAGAGAGTATAACCCCTCCGGCGACATGTCCGTTCGTAAGACAGGCTTCCGTTGATGCTGGGTACATATCCAACGCCATTCAGACTCATCGTCCTCCGTTTCTTCGACACCGACAATCTCCAAGTTTGGCATAATGGTAGAGATATATGCAGCGACATCGCTACTCTTCGAAACAGGCGACGCGTGAACCCCCATATACCTCACAGCAGTGTTCGGCACGGAGGGTCTGTAACCAAGATTTTCCGGAACAGGAATATGAGTTGCATCGAACGGGAGGGTAAAGTGCTTGAGTTTTCGGCAATGATATAGAAGAGTGGAAACTCCTCGTAGCGTGAGATGAACTGTAGGGCACACTTTGCAAAGATACGGAAATAGGTGGAATACCTCCAAGTGTGGCCATGATTAGACCATATCCTCCAAGTCATTGTCTGCGAGTGTCAGATCATGTGGTGCCATCAGTGCAATGACCCGAAGGTGAGAGAAAGCCTGGTAGAGATTCAGCATCGGTCGCGGCCAAGCAGAACCAGTTTCGGTTTTGTCATCGGAAGCAATGCTGAGAATCCAGAGGAATTCTAGATGCTTGCACCGTGATGAAATCAGATTAGACATGTTAATGAGTTCTTGTGAAATTTTGACGTCATCTCCAGATACTGTAGAGAGGGTTATCTCAGTGACTTTACTAAGGGAAGTCCGACGGAGGAGGTTTGTGCACAGTACAATGGACTCGGAGCAGATACCGAGAGTGCGAAGTTGCGGGAAAAGGTTGTTGTTGGGACTTTCAGGCATCGGGCCAAGCCCATTAGGAAGATGCATCCACAGCTGTCGCAATGCATTCAACTGAGCAAGACTGCCCAGCAATTCCCAGGTAGTCACGTAACACCTAACAGTCTCCAGACGGGGGAGCTCGGAGACAGCGTTGGAACACGGAAACACATCCTCGCCAGGAATTTTTTCGACTCCGGTTTGGCAGGAACATGACCTTTTTATGCTTAATATGCGGACGTTCGGGCAAAGGCCTGGTATGGAAGAGATGTCGAGATAGCTGTAGATCCTAGGAATGTCAAATCGGAGAGCAGACGGGTGCCGTCCCACAAGAAGAGAGCAGAAATCAAGGAAGGGTTGGAACTCAGTCACGTCGATCCTGCTCATATCAAGAGAAGTGGACACTTCCAATGATAATGCGCGAAGGTTTGGGAAAAGATAGCTTGCGTGTTGTGGGGAGGTGAGGAACCGAAACCATTCGGGAACGCCCACCACGTAGTCATGGTCTAAAGGCACGGCGTTGAAGAACGTATGGAATCTACGGACACGGCTCGACAATCGCCGGACGGTGTTCCAGTCGTCGTCACTGAGCGCACCTAAGGTCAGGTACTGGCGCTGTTGGTCGTGTCATTCCATCTATCCAACCAACGAAGCAGCGGTAGCTCCTTACGTTGTTCCATGTATCTGTCATGATGTTTGCAGAAGAGAGATTCTGCAAGATAGGTTCCACGGCTTCCAGAGTCTCCCAGATAAGATCTGTAGCTGGCACATTGAAGGCGCGGCAGGTCCTGGCCAATGCACACAACGTCTGGCGACCTTCGGTGCATCGAAATACAAGTCTCAGAATTTCATCTATGCAGAGGCAAGAATGCATGACGACGGCAAGCAATGAGGGATTCTGATAGGAAACTTGCGCCACGCCGCACTTGCAACTCTGGCGTGTAGCGCCACGACTTCCTCACAGGTCTTGACGCATCCTTACATACCTTAACGTGGACAACGTTCCGCAACAAATATATGTTCAACATCGTGTGTGTTGATGGCCTTCAACACACCCATCAGATCTCTGTGTCATCTTCTTGCCATTTCCCTCACCTTGTCAAATCCACACCTCAGCCTCAAAATGCTATTCTGTGCTGTGACAGTCTGGTGCATCATCAAAAGATTGTCAGCCAGAGAAGACCATTGGTCCGAAAGTGGCGATTTTCTTCATTTCCTGGTCGTTCTGCTGTATTCAAGATTTTCTCTTCCCGGTTATTTGTCCTTTATCATTCACACTGTACAGTGGGTCGCTAATGGTGGCGGCCCGCTTCTTCCGAAGTCATGCCCCCGTGGTTTCTGCCTGCATTCCTGACAGCGTGGCCCTGCACACGGGAGACCCGTTACCTTTCTGAGGCTTCCCACTTTCGAAATCATTGAGAGCTTCGGTTAGGCCATACAATCGTGACGGGCGATATTGTCGAGAGTGCGACATGTGGTTCCTGCAGGGCGATTCCGTGATACTCTTTACTGCCTCAGCACTTGTTGTTTCCATAGTATTCAAAATTTCAGCATCCAAGTACATCCAACAAATTCGAGGGCAGGTGAAGCGTACATGTATATAAAACGATTTATTGTCCATCATCGTTTCCAGTCGTACCATTGGGGCTGGTGAAACTTCCTTGGTACATCTCCTGAACGCGCTTCCGGACGTATTCTCCTGAATTGATGATTTCGTATTTGGCCGGTCTCTCAGCGGATACACAAGTTGGTAGGGGCTGAAGGAAGCAAGCGATCTGAGTTCTGCAGCAGAAAACAAAGGCCAACGTACCTCGACCTCCACGTGGGGGTCCGTACCGTTGAACAGCGGAATAGAGTAACGACGGATGCCGCTCCTATTGATCGCTCTATGCACGGCTGACCTAAATATGCCGTCTTTTTCGAGGGGAGTATCTGAGGCAGGAATCAACATGTACGGTCAGAGCGGCAGCTCACTCGTCCATCGTGAAAGCAGGTCGCCGATACTAAGCGCAATCAGTCCAGCAATTTATGCAAAATCCTCTCGGTTGGCACGTACTTGATGACCAGGGTACCGGGAATTGGCGTGGCATTTATCCACTTCTTCTCCGAGTTCAGGATCTGGAGGGCCTGAATGCCAGGTTCTTGCCATAAGATGGTAAAACACTGGACGTTGTTTCACTCATGTATTCGCAAAGCTGAATGCCTTGGTGAGAATCCCTACCTCAAAGCTGTAAAGAGGTATGTCAGGGCATATTCAAAAATACAAGTGGGATACTCACTCTGAGTGGGCACCGATTCCGATGATACGATCGTCTTCGGGACCTGTTTGGGGGGGATAATGGAGTCCCCGCATGATTGGGCAACGCTTGAACTGAAAACCCTAGGTGGAAACCATAAATTTGTAAGCAATGATGACATACCTTGTCATCGAAGTACGTCTCAGGGAGATCTAATGCAAGGGCAAAGAGGCGGTACAGGTCCTTTGCAACACCAAAAGCTGCGTGGCTTGATGACGGATCTGGGTTAGACGCTCTAACAGTACGCTGTTGTGAAACGTACTAGTAATTGACGAAGGCTTCACGGAACTCAGCGGGTTCCGAGGGCCAGAGATTTTCAATAACCGTGGTATCGTCACCTGCTTCGTTGTCTTCGTCTTCCTTTGGTACCAGATCTTCCTTGCCAATTACGAAACCTTCGTACAGATCACCTCTGTTGGCTGGGTCGATGTTGGAATCTAAAAGGGGCTCGTATCCTCTGTAATGTGGGCCTTTTCTATGGTGAAGCTTATTCTGATGAGGCAAAGATCAAGGCGATGTAAGCACGTTGCGCCTACCTTCATCTTCGTCTCAGTTGGGAGAGCAAAGAAAGCTTTCATGGCCGAGAGAACCTTGTCGATTGTCTCTTCGGGTATACCATGATTCTTGACTGCAAATGGCTTGTTGGAAAATGTTTAGTGTCAAGTCGGGAGGGTCTGTTCCCACTGTAAAAGAACCCAACACTCATGCATGCCTCCCTGATCTGCTGAGCCAATGCAGCCCGTTCCTTGGGTGTCGACGCATGTCCTATATCGCTGTATGAAAAGTGAATCCGAGTAGCACTAGGGGCAGTAGGGGACGACGCACATAATGGGTATAGTATCGAAAGCACCGCTCACCGAAGCCATAGATTCCACCAGTGACATCTTGGGTCTCAACCGTGGGGCTTTGTCTCACATCATCCATATATGTATATACCGTTTATCTGATAAGAAATTGAAACCCCTTCCAGCGGAGCAAATATAACAGACCTTGAAGTTCCGATCATATATATGAACTGCTTATGTACAGAACATGAGAATTGGGCTGCTGATTGGTGATGACTCGGAGAGATGTTTGATATCCGTATCAAGGGTGGTAAGTGCCTAATAATTGAATATTGATGGCCTTATTTAATGCTCCTAGATCATATGCTGGAAGTCATTACTGCGAGTTCAAGTCTATAACACATCTCCAATGCGATGACCCTCAGTTACTGGAGAGCCTGGCAGAGTTCCAACATAGCTTGCGTCCAAGCAGTGGGAGTTTGAGGACAGAGAAAAAAGCTGGTTCTAATCCAGAGGAATCTTAGATGCTTGCATCTCGAAGAAACATATCAAATAGTGCTTGCAAAGGATCGCCGACATCTTGGTATTCTGGGTACTTAGTAGATACGTATCTCAGTCACTTGACTGAGGGGAGATGGCGACTCAGAGACTACCCTGGAAAACGGATCCACGGGAATTCGGACTCTCCAGTCGAAATGTGGCCCTCTTATGCTCAACACGCAGATGTTTGGGGAGAGCGCTGGTATAGAAGGGAGGTCGAGATAGGTGTAGAGTGTTGCTGGAATGCCAAATCGGAGCGCTAGCAAGCGTGGACGCAGGAGAAAGCGGAAGAAACAAACTATGGCCTGGAATTTTGTGTGAACATCGTCTGCTTTATGCCTATCACGAGAAACGGGCACTTCGAATGATAAGGCGCGAAGGTTTGTGAAGAGAAAGCTCGGATCCGATGGGGAGGTGAGGAACCCAACCCATTTCGGGCAAGTCCCAATGCATGAAGTATACAGAGGCACAGCATTGACGTGTGTATGAAATGTGCGAACACGGCTTGAGAGTCGCTGTCACTGAGTGGATGTACTATGCCTATGCAAACAAGAAACAATAGTAGGCACTTACATGTGTGTTCCCCATCGCTATAACTCCTGTTGAAGAAAGACTCTGCAAGATAGGTTCGACGGCAGGCAGAGTCCCTCAGATCAGATCAGTAGCTGGTGGGCTGAGCGTGCGGCAAGTTCTGGCCAACGCACACAACGACGAGCGATTTTCTGATGTGTTCAAAGATGTGATGCATGGTGGTGGTAAGTAGTAAACAGCTGAAAACTCGGGAACATACGTTCTCACCCTCAGGCTTCCTGCATCACGTCGACCCCCAACAACTAACACAACAGCTCAACTATACATACTCCCAGACGATGGTCTTACTCGAGGGCGATCGGAAAGGAAGTCGTGCACGATGAAGCAGCTTTCGCCGGGAGCGAACATAGTCATAAGTGCCAGAGAACGATAGAAAGAGTAATCTACCGATATGTACCCAAATAGTACGAGTCGCAGAGTCTCATACACGCGGAGGCGTCGAGGTATGATGGCGGTAATGAACAACTGCGAGAGCTGCCTGATCAAAACCCTTGAGAACCAAGAAAACGTGCCAGCGAACTGGGCGTTGGAGTTCAACAACCATCAACACGTTCCTCAACGCGGTCAGACGCTCGGCGACGGCTGCCACGACTGGTGTCAACAACGGAATCATATCGTCCCAGCCAACGAGAAAAGTGGTTAAAATACAGGTGTTCATACACTGGTGAGTCCTTCACAGAAGATAATGATGGAGGAAAATAAATATCCAATGTTGCAGTTATAGAATTCAGCAACAAGGACCAGCCCTGTCCAGGATTGCAAATCAGCGGTGCTTGGGCTGTACCATGTACGCTGGCAACTGCACCTTCGCCAACAAGTTCCCCTCATGTTCCGTTCGAATTCGGTGGCGCCTTCTCAAGGGCCTGGCGTTGGGAGATTACCACCTCCCGTATCCGAGGGGAGCGAGTGCCGGATGGATTTATTGGAGGTGCAGTATGGCAGCCAGTCACTGGTGGACTTGGTCCTAAGTGCATGGAAGGCGAAGGATCCCCATGTGCTCGTGGAGGGTACTGTTATCGATCACGACATTAGTCCCAGGTACGACCCCAGCACGGAAGGTACGCACGGATGACATCCACGCCCGACGTCGATTGGCGCGCTTCTGAAACCAATAGGAGATCGTCCAACTTGAGAGGACCAGGATAATAAAGCACGCTGGGGAATGGGGTACGTATCATATACTACTCGGCGAATAGCAACATGCGGAGACACTCACTTATTCCCAAGATGATACCTATTATCGTCTTCGGCTGCATCTCTCCAGCTCCACTAGCGGATTGCGGTGTCATGTTAGTATGATATTCAATCGTGGTGGTCGGTCATGGTGAGCAATGTGCTCTTATCTCAACGTTGGTAGCACCGCATTCCGTAGTTTGTCGTCTTCTCTGGTCCGGACGGGGTTCACAGCTTCCGTATTCTAATTGGTCAATCAATCTTTCCTCGGACGGAAGATACGAAGGGCTGGAGTGGTCGGCCGGCTCATGCGTACATGGGTAAGCTTATTGGTCGTCTCATTTATATGTCGTAACGTTCTCATTGCATTTTATCCGCAAAACCCTAAATACATACTTTGAACATACGTATCCACGCCGTTGGAAGGTTCTCAATATCGTCGCCTCGTGTGCACTGAATTAAGCACCCTCGTGGCTATACATACAGCTTCACTAACCCTGACATAATGACCCTTCCCCTAGAATCCCGTTTTGTAGGGACAACGTTCTCAATGAGGCAGGGCGCACTGTTTCTCTGTCCGCCGATGACATTGATAGCACCGGTAGTCCGCCATTTGCGCGGTAAATTCACTAGTTCATACCCCACATGATCCGGGCCCAAATGCGTGTGATGCGCAACATATTGTACTGCGGCCATCATCACCGGCAGCTTGATTCCGTAGGCCCTCTGCGAGAAGGAAAGCTTCCAGATTGTGCGGAGTCGCAGGTCAGCGCTACGCGGCCTACTATGTGGTAGCCGGGAACAAACATAGAGCTTATTGGTGATCAGTCACGAAGGCATATCCTGCATTTCTTGACGTAGTCTGTTCCACTGCGCCCTTGGGTGTTCTGTCACTAAACAGGTCCAGCAACCCGTTCACGGATCGGGTACCTGACACTAGTTCCATATCAAGCGAGTATATGAAGCAAGCAGGATTCGCTCTTCGCGCGGAATGTATCATTCCTCGCCGGACATGTTGTCCGGAGCCTTACGTTCTCAACACACGCAAACCCCGCTTGAAAGCGCGAATGCTCTGGGCAAGAATCTTTGTTCTACATCTGCTCTGGAAGGCCAAATTAGTAAGCAGTGCCGCATTTACATAAAGCGATCTAGATCGATGGAACTCAGAATGATACACGCTGATACACGCCACATCCGTTTATTCGTTGGAGTCGTACAGTAATATCAGTTATGTAGTGCGCGTGCATACCGGGAATGCCGGTCGTGAGCGGCTTGGAGGCGGTGGATACATGGAGTGAGAATACAACAGCAAGTGCAGTCTGCGGCACTGGATAGTCCACACAACAGCAATGCGATGTCCTATTCGAAAACAAAGAGCGCAGAAGAAGGCCTGAGTAATATGGGTATCGGAGATGATGCAAGGCAGTGGGAATACAACAAGACAACGCATGGGTTTATCGTTACGGAGTTCACTCATCCACTGCCATAAACTACACCCGACCCGCGCGGATACGTCAGTCTACCAGCTGACTTGGGCGGAGAAGGGGAAAGGGTATGCCATTATTGACCACGTAGGATGGCCGGCATCGACAATTAAGTCGAAAGGCGCCCGTCAAGGGCGGCAAAATGGATGTCTGCCGGAACCTGTCAAGCAGCAGTTTGTGAAGTTTCCTTTCATAAGACGGCGTTTGACGAACTCGGGATCCAGCTAGAAGCCAGCCGTATCACCTCATTCTACGAGTTGCGCAGACTTGATGGAGCATTTGACTCGGCGAGGCTTGCTTGCGCGGACCGTAGCTGAACGACTTTTGGTGCAGAATACGGCGGTGGAGCAGGACGTGGAGAATATGCCGGAGGAGGGGGCTGGATGACTGGTCTGGACCAGGGGGATGCATCTGTGTACAATGGAAGTGTGCTACGACGCAAGAAGAGCGCGGCGCGTAGAATCGTCCAGATGAAACCAACAACTGCAACTGTAAGCGGGATCGTGTGAGAAGGTAGATGGTGTGGATAATGGGGGGGAGGGCAAACATACTCAAGGTTCCAATCACAATAAATGTTGTTGCCCAACTCGGGAACGTGTTGGATGCACTGTCATCGTATGACACGCCTGTTGAGTTGTTCGTTGAGTCCATGGTATGTGGGGTGGACACTGTGCAGAGTGGTCTGCGTCACCCTGGCTCGAGGGACTAAGTTTTATACATCCTCGGCACCCCCTGGCTTATATAAAGGGGCGAGGAAGGGAACAAGCTTGGGAAAGTGGCTGTGCAAGGGTCCTACCCCTCACGCTAGCAGATTCTTTCTTTCTGAAAAGAAACCCACTGCGTATACCACATTTCGAGTGAGGTAGTTGCGTAATCGCCCAACATAACTGGTAGGTATAGTGAAGACGTAGAGAAAGCTGGCAGTGGTGTAAACGAAGGAGAAATCATGCAGGGATATAACAATGAACAGGGGCGGGAGGTACCGGAAACTGGCGCGACTTAACTGAGGCAGATCAGCGAACGTGTGATGCCGCATAAGGTTCCGCTTCGCCCCATCTCTGATCCCGCGGACTGTGGGGGCTCCGGACGTAGTGGAAACCAGGGCGGACAAGACCTAACCACATAGGACGTTTACTGCTTAACTAGTGAGCCTGCGATCTTGGACGCAGTCAACAGGGCCTTCGTAGTGATCACGTGAACATTAGATAATCTAAGACGCGTTCAGACTTAGGTTGTTCCCCCTGTCTCTCTCGCTGCTCGTCTTCGACCACTCGTCGTTCTCGCGCATATACTCGTTATTCCTTCGTTCTCCCGCCCACCTCCCTTTCACATCTTAGCGTGTTTGGTCGGTCTTGTGGCCTCTTCTCGTCTCCGTCCACTCGTCCGCTCTTACACGCTCAGAAAGCCGTGCCGCATCTTTCCGCGCACTCCTTTTGTGATTCCTCTCTTCTTCTGATCACGTGACCCCGCTTTTGTTCATCCCATTGGCTTCTCTGTCACGTGACCCTCTCTAGTGCGCTCGCCGTCTCGGCATCTCGGCTCGCTCGCTCGAGTCGGCCTTGCGACACGCGGCTTTCCCCCCACACTAGTTCGCACCCACCTCGTGATCTACGAACTTACACTCCTATCTACATCTTTCTCTAGACTCTACCTCAGATCTCAGATTGTTCATCCTTTATTTCAGTTCCTATATCACTGTCTCTTGTGGTTCACCTAGCTACGAAGGGTCTGCATCCTCTGCACGTTATCAGATTAAACGACTTGGCAACCCGACGAGAATGACGTCAGGCCATCCAGCTCACACAAACGACTGGACACTAGTACTCAAAACGTCCGAATAACTGTGTTGTATAACTTGGACTGACTTAATACCATGCATACGATTGTGCTCTCAGTCGCTCAGTGCATGCCTCCAGCCCCGCTGGTATGCTGCGCACCACTAGCATCAGGTTGTGTGGGTCCAACCGTGCCAGCCATAGTCAGCAGCATGCTGCCGGCCGTGGGGAATGGTTCATGAAGTTGGCATGTCAGCTCGCCCAAGTCTCCTGATCCGAAGTGTCCGCCACCCGTCTCTGCCAGTGCGTGTGGTTCAGAGTTCCACAAAGAATTCCCCTGTAGGACAGATGCAGGGTAGCCCTATAACAACGATCTCCCTAATTCGGGTTTAGTAGTGCCGCCCGCAAAATATATCTGCCTCTCTGCCCACTCGGAAAGACCGGTGGTCAAGGCGGTGCTGTTTTGGCCTGTGGGCGTCCAGTGCGAATCGTGGACCCACAATAATTTACCACCAAGCAACGAAGAACGTGGATCAAATTCACAGGGACACCAACTCCGCGTAACCAGATATGTACTCTCTGGCTTATCACCAAATACGTCGCATTCAGTATGTCGTGCTACAGTTGTTTCAGATACAGTTGCCGATACCCAGCAATTATCAAGGAGATTCACAGTTGACCACCATGGCGTGCGTAAATCAGTTCAGCAAACACAGGTTGGGTCATCGGGGATACCGCATCCGAGTCATGCATACCTGAGAATCACCAGTGTGTGATTAGTAGCAACACGCCCGAGTTCCCTCGGCGTAACTTAAGGTTTCATTTCCGGGAAACGTACAGCGATGCTCACTTTGACATGGTGACTGAAGTAAGAGTAAAGTCAGGAGCACAGAGGGTATGGACGAAAGACGTGGGGATGATTCGGAGACAGCAATAGAGGTTAGATGAAATTGTTGTGATAGAGAAAAACTGTGATCAACTGCCCAGGCTGAAGTCAGATCTTGTCTCGCAACGACCGGATATTCGGGACATCAGAGTTCCCACTCCAGACGTCTGTGTCAGGGTCTCATACTCCTGACAACCCAGGGTAGAGGGATGGTATCACAGCGACGAAGGCGCAGCCCAAATTAGACAGTAGTTCTAAGAACCAAGTAGTGATCGCCAGGATTAGCAATCCGGAGCATAGGCGGTAAGTTCCCAAAACGATCAACGACATCACCAAAGGCAGTAACACGATCCTGCTGTAGAGTTGTATCTCCTCACCTGTACTAGAGGAACGATGCAGGGTGCAAGCAAGCATTTGTTCCTGTGTCGGTCCAACTAAGCTGTGAGGTTGTCCATCTCAGCACCCTCCATCGCGTTGGTCGGGCCGCTCCTGGAAACCATTAACAATAGCATGCCTCCAATACGATCCCAAGTGCGAACGAAACGTACTGGTATAAGGCACAACAGACAATGATATCATTTATCAACACCTATGTATAGTTAGCGTCTTATATCGAGGTCTTATCGCAGTACGAAGGAAGGGTCGGACTTCTGCTCGTTCATTGACCACAACGCAAGACTGCTTATTCGATTTACGGTAAAGATATGCTGCTCGAGCACGGCCACCCAGTCATCGTGATAATCGAGTGTTGCAAGTCCCCAGTTGGCCAGAGTAGATGGAACATCGCATGCCACCACGCTCGAAGTGAGAGAGTGAGAGAGAAAACGACTCGGTCTGGGCTGGGTCCTGTAAGGGGGTACTCGAGCCGCGTTGTTCGCGTTCCGCACCGGCACTCCCCAACCATATTCGCCACAATCAGTGGGAAGAAGCGGAACGATCCATAGTCGTACCGGAAGAGCAACAACCCCATTCTATCAACACCGTCTCCGCCGACAGTTATCGCACATGGGGTTTAACCAGACTTCAAACGGAAGAACGTCGGACCATTCTTCCCCAGAGCTCAAAGCGGGACAAGAGCCCCCCTCCCCGTTGCCCGCTGAAAAGACGGGACCGAGAGAAAAATTGATCGGTATCAAGGATCGCCGCCAGACAATTTCGTCAATCCGCTCCACAAAATCAAGGGTACGCGGTATGTCTTGCAGACCCAACTTACCACGAGTGCATGGCGACAGCTTGGAAGGTGCAGAATCAAAATTTCCAGAAAGTAAAAGAGACAGGCGAACCTTCGTCATACTTGCGAAGGCCTATCCAGAAGTTTACGGTCATACACAGATTATCACGTGCAAAGGGAGAATCCCTACGGTCAATGTTCGTTTGCCTCTTCCTCAGAGAGTCGAGTGATCTCAGCGCCGAGATTGTCACCACCACCTTGCTTTGGGTCATGATTGGAACCTCCTCCGATGACGATCTGGAATCTATTTTCCGCTCCAACCCGCACGGCGGTGCCCGGTACCCGTAGATCAGATGGAGAAGTAGCGTCTTTCAATTGGGCTTCGCTTCCCACCTTCTGTATCATTTTCTGTTCCGATCCTCCAAGTTTCTTCCCTTTCCCCATCCTCTTCACGACCAGAACCAGCTTTCGCAATTTGTCATACCGCCGATGAAGAGTGCGTCATTCAACTGATCGAATGAAAAAAGGCGTGGTCAGAACATCGTGAAGCTGTGAGGCATTATTTGAGTGAGCTGCGTTGTCCATGTCAGGATACACATCCGTTTCTGTTCGGTCGGTGGAAGTAAAGGGAGGTAGCTGCATTCTCTGCCTGTTAGTAACAAATGAGAGCTTCGAAGGCTCCATTGGGAGCGCCGTCAGCAGCATGGGCTGAGGGCGTCGGTATTGATGGAGACGTCAGAGCAGCACTTCTCGACGTTTCGGTCGTGCGGTGCAGATTTCGATTTCGCGGAAGTCAGTAACTAGCTAGTAGAGCGTGGGTGACTCATCTACACTTGATCAAACTTGTTATGTCGGTTCAGGATCGAGAGTCACTATTCACCAGCTGCAGCGTCGCTAGTTGAACCCAGCTCCGAAGTCCGCAAGCCGTTTCATGAACCACGTGAGGATGACCCAACAGGACAGTGGAGATCTTGTAAAAGTAGCAAAGGCTAATTTTATTAGAGCTACTAAACCAGGATGTGCGTGCATATAGAACAAGTGGTTTTACACAGGAAAGGTTACTGAGACTGGTGTCATGTAGAGCAGCACAAGAAAAACGACCGATAAATGACGAAAGGGAAGACAAACCCAGCTGAGCACATCTCCCCCACATGCGCGTCACAGGATTCTCGAGACTTTCGCCCGAATGTTCTTGGAGGTGATGTTGGTTCCGAGTCCCGAGATGACAATCTCGTTCTCTGCAGCAACCCTCTTCGACTCTACATCTAGCTGCTGTAGGAGAATTGGCGCATTGAATGGCTGCCCAAGGCGGGCGGTCATCTGTAGCGCCCAGGTACACTCGTCAACCTGAAACGCGGGGTCAGTGGGTAAAGACACGACTCCATCAGATCCAGGGTCGCGATCCGAATTCGAATCAGACAGATACAGAATCCTATTCACCTTCCCATGTAACTCCACTACTCGAACCTCGGATGTGACGAATCCATGGGTGGGCGAAGACGAATTTCTACGGCCCGAGTAGTGGGAGATCGTCTGTGGTCGTAAACTCCACTATACCAAATCTGGATATCCTGGAATGATATAGCTTCTCATTGCCTCTGCGTAGCCCCTGTATAACGAGTCTCCAGGCAGAGAAGACAATGTCTGGAAGATGTAGACGTCGGGTCGCAAGATGGGCAGGTGGAAGAGAGTTGATCTGATTATAGATACTCAAGGCTTCTGGCTGGGGCAACATGCCACGTAACTTCGTGATGTATCTTTCCGTTTCTTCCACCCCGAGTGAAGGAGGGTTGTAAGGAGTTCGGCCGTAAATGGAGAAGGAAGCTGGCAGGCAACCATTGTATGACGATGACTTCCCTGACCATGCAAGGACGGTGACTTCGTCAGAGCGAGTTATAACCTCCCCTTGGACATGTCCAAGAGCATCAGCTCCTTCTCCATAGTGAGGCCTGGGATCGGATTTGAATAAGCGATGAGCGAGTGCGCGACGTCTTCTTTGACCGTCACACTGTGCGTCGGGGCGGGACGAAGTTTCTCGCACGCCCCGAGATCGTCTGGAGAAAGCGAAACGATAATTCCGCGGAAACCCCGACAGCGCCTGCTAGCTCTTGCGTGATCTCCGGGGATTCGTCGTGGTTTGCGCCAGTATCGCTGAGGCGCAGAAAAAGATGACTTTCGATGAGAGAAGCTTTTGCAACGTTCGTGCTCGTGTCATCCATAAGTTAAGTGTAAGGTCCTCGGGCTCGGACGGATGTGCTACGCTGAGGAGGAATACGAACGTGGCTGCCGAATCCGTAACCATTTGTAGATGGATTGTGAGAGATTAAGGACGGAATGCGTGTGCTTGTCGATGCAACACGTATCTGATCACGCTCAATCGTAACCCAGTCTATAGGTCTTCTTGCAGAAATCATGCAACTACTTGTTGCGGGGACGGCGAAAGGGTATGCCATTATTGACCACGTAGGATAGCTGGCATCGACATTGAAGTCGACAACGAAGTGATGGGTCTGCCAATGTGGAAGGTCGGTTTCCCGGGCGGAAAGGCGCCAGAAGACAGCTGCATCACCTCATTCTACGAGTTATCCAGGCTAGATGAAGCAATTGACCCCGCGAGGCTCGCTTGCGTGGTCCGTAGTTGAGCGGCTTTTGGCACCGAGTACGGCGGCGGAACAGGGCATGGAGAATATGCCGGGGGAGGGGGCTGAATGACTTGTCTGGACCAGGAATATTCAAACATCTCGATGTCTGCGTACGATGGAAGCGAACTGCGTCCCAAGAAGGGCGTGGCGCGCAGAATCACCCAAGTGGCACTAACGAGTACAGCTGTAAGCAGGACCGTGTGAGAAGATGTAGATTACAGAGGGAGAGCAAACACACTGAAGGCTCCAATCACGATGAGGATTATTGCCCAACTCGGGAGTGCGTTGGATGCGCTGTCATTGTATGACACCCCAGTCGAATTGTTTGTTGAGTTCATTAGTGTGTAGGGTAAGACTCGAACTGTGCAGGGTGATTCGCGTCACCCTGAATCGATGGGCCTAAGTTAAATAGTATCGGCGCCGATACCCCTGGCCTATTATATAAGGAAGAAGCAGTACTGCCAGCCAACCGCTTCCGCAGCTGGGGTCACTGCCGCGGGACCCACTCGAGAGGGGGACGCAAGTCACGCAGAATATTCCCACTTTCTAGAAAGAAATCCACGTGTGGACCATATCTGGAGCGATGTGATCGTAAAGTGTGCTAAGTGGTCCTCGACGTAGGTGCAATCAACTCGTGGGTATGGTAAAGATGTAGAGGAACTTGGTAATGATGTATATAGGAAGAGGAGAAATCATAATGACAATGAACAGAATGGGGGGGAACTGACGCGACGCGACCGGGACAGCTCAGCGAACGGGCGATGGTCGAAGGCTCTGTTTGGCTCTTATTCCAACCCCGCGGGATCTTTTTGAGCGAACTGGGACAGGGGCGCTGGATGTGGCAGAAGCTCGAGAGGACAAGACGACTTGACTATCAAGACTTCAGATTAGAATGTCCGAATACCTATGCCAACCTATCTGAGAACTTGCTTGATCCAAAACCACGTATACGATGGTCCTCCGAGTCACCCGAGCTCCCAGTGCATGTCTCCAACCCCGCCGGTGTGCTGTGTACCACTAGCGTCGAGTTGTATGTGTCAAATGGCGTTGGCTGCAATCACTGGTATGCAAGGGATCATGGATACGTTCATGAAACTGACATGCCATCTCGCCCAAGTTTTCCCGGTCCGAAGCGTTCCGTCATCCCTCTCCGCGAGTACGTGCGGTTAAGAGTTCTACAAAGAATTCCCCAGTAAGACGTATTTAGGATAGCCCTACAACATCGATTTTCCTAATTCAAGTCTCGCAATGCTGCCTGCGAGATGTATCTGCCTCCTTACCCAGTCGGGACGGGGCCCGGTAGTCAGGCCGGTGTTTGACCTACAGCGCCCATTTCAAAGCGTGAAAACACAATAACTACCATAAGAAACGAAGAACTCACAGGAACCCCAACTCACAACCAAATGTGTGCTCTCTGGCTTATATGTCGCACCCAGCACGTGGTGCTGCAGGTGTTTCGGATATAATGTGGCTATCGACGCCCATCAATCATTAAGGGAGATTCACAGTAAACCAGTTCAGAAAGCACAGGTAAGGTCATCGGGAGCACTATATCCGACTCGGGCATGCGCTCCTGACAATCACCAGTATGTGATTAGTAGCAACAGGCCTCAGTTCCCTGCGCACAATTCAGGCTTTTATTTCTGGGAAATGCATGGCAACGCTCATTTTGACAAGGCGAATAAAGTAAGCAAGAGCAAAGTCAGAAGCACCGAGTGCGTGGATGAAAGACGAGGGCACGATTCGGAGACAGTACAACGCGGCGCCCGACCTCAACTTAGTTCCAAGCTGTTGAAAGAAGTTATCGTACCCGTTCGCAGTGCACGAGCTTCTTCTAACGGCCACAGCATTGCCTCTTCGTAGCAGGCCTGTGAGTTAGCAAGACAAACGGTTTTGATAGTTATAGTGATATTGACACATTCGTGTTTCCGCCGGGCTTTCCAGAAATCATGGCGCAAGATTGATACTTCTTTAGAATCAATTTTAGAAACCAAGTGACCGCTTGTTCGTTCATTGCCCGGCGTGTTCAGATACTTTAATCGAGGGTTTTTGATATCAGCAGCCATCATAGCTTCCCTCCTCCCAAACGGGCTAAGCGCAAAGGCGTGCTCGTCATGCGTTACTGTAAAGGTTAGATGACACTGTTGTGATAGAGAGAAACTTCGATCGATTACCTGGACTGCAATCGGATCTTGTGTCGCATGCGCTGACCGGGCATTCGGGACGTCAAGAACCCACTTATCAAGACCCCATACTCCTAACAGATCGGAACAGAGAGGGGTGACATATCACAATAACGTGCTGCCTTATTCGTCGCAAAGCAGAAGTACATGACGAAGACACGACCTAAAATTGGACTGGAGGTCTAGAATCAAGGGCCGATCGCCAGGATTGGAAACCCGGGGCAGAGGCAGTACTAAGCCTCCAGAATGATCAATGGCCAGGTGATAAGTCTTTCGACGGCGGCGGCGACCCTGTTTAATAGATTCCCGATCGCACTGGTAAGAGCCACCAGGACATGCGGCCATGAATCAGAGGCTGTTTGAGGCAAATTCGTGGTTGGCGAAAAATGACCGGACAAATTTTTTAGTTGCAGTGACCTTGCAAACAATGCAAAGCAGGAACACAGTTTTGCTGTAGAGCTGTATCTCTTCACACTGTGTCAGAGGAAGGACACAAGCAAGCATTCCATTCCTGCATCAATCCAGCCAAGCTGTGAAGTTGTCCATCTGAGTTGGCTCTATCAGGTTGATCGGGCCGCTCCTGGGTACTATTAACAATAACGCGCCTTCAATGAGTTTCCCAAGTGCGAATACGACGTACCGAGAACAGCCGACAATGATATAATTTATCGAGATCTCATCGCGGTATGAAGGGTCGGACCTCCGTCCGTGCGTTAACCACGATGTAAACTGCGCTTATTCAATTTAGCGTAAAGATGCGCTACCCGAGCAGGGTCCATACAGCCACCATGATAATTGAGCGTTACAAGCCCCCAGCAGGCCAGAATAGGTAGAACACCGCAAGGCGCCACACTCGAAGTAGGAGAGTGAGAGAAAAACGAACGGATCTGAGCTGACTCCTGCGGGGAGGTACCTGGGCCACGTAGTTCGCGTTCCAAACCGGCCATTTGCCGTAACCAGTACGAAGAATCGGAATGATTCATAGTCGTACCGGAAGAGCACAACTCTATTCCATTGATACTCGTCTCCGCCGACAGTTGTCGCACATGAGGTGTAACCAGATTTCAAACTGAAGAACGTCGGACCATTCTCTCCCAGAGTTCAAGGCGAGACAAGAGCCCCTCCACGTTGCCCGCCGAAAAGACGGGATCAAGAGAAGACTTTATCGGTATTGAGGATCGTCGCCAGACAATTTCGTCAACTCGTTCCACGAAATCAAGGGCATGCGATATGTCTTGCAGACCCAAGTTGCCACGAGTGCGTGGCGACAGCTTGGAGGGTGCAGAACCAAAGTCTTCGGAAAGCAAAAGCGAAGGGCGAACGTTCGTCATACTTGCGATAGCCTATCCAGAAGTTTACAGTCATACAGGTGTTACCATAAGCAAAAAGAGAAACCTTACCGTCAACGCTCGTTTTGCGTCCTCCTCAGAGAGTCGAGCGATCTCAGTGGCGAGATTGTCATCTCCACCTTGCTTTGGATCGTGATAGGAACTTCCTTCGATGGCGATCTGAGATCCAGTTTCTGCTCCATTCTGTACGATGGTGTCCGGTACTCGTAAATCAGATGGAGCAGCAGAATCTTTCACTTGGGCTTCTCTCTCCACCTTCTGTGTCATTTTCTGTTCCGGCCCTCCGAGTTTCTTCCCCTTCCCAAACCTCTCCGCCACCAGCGTTCGTAATTCGTCATACTGACGATGAAGAGTGCGCATCTCGTCGTGGGCACTGTCGAGTGCGTCATTCAACTGATCGAATGAAAAGCGCGTGGTCAGAACATCGGGAAGCTGCGGGGCATCATTTGAGTGAAGTGCATTGTCTCCGTTAGGACGTCCATTTCTGTCTGGTACCGAATCTTGTATGGTGGAGGTAACGGGATTTTCTTGCAAAGCAGCTGCGTTCTCTACCTGCTGGTGACGAAGTAAATAAACCAGAAAGGTTGATCTGTCGTATAACATACACAATCTCGCCGGTCGTCCACACCTGTCTTGACACTTTCTCCAAGAGAGTCTGGCACCTGTTGATCTGGCACGATAGACCCCACTGGTGCCCCTCCTTGACTCGCAGTCAAGTTTTGCCATTCAAACATACTACATATCTTCTCAAAATCAAGTCTTCCAGATGCATCTCTGAGCACAGCACCGCCTGAAGTACTTCGAGCCCGGCGGGGAACAGCAGACGCCGGTGGTACATCGTCTATCCCGTCGGAGGCCAAGAGATCGATGAGAGCTTCGAAGGCTTCGTTGGGAGCGCCGTCTGCAGCCTGGGGGCTGGCAGATATTGAGGGCGTCGGTATCGAAGGAGAGGTTGGAGCAGTACTTCTCGACATTTAGGTCGTCTGTACAGATTTGGCGAAAATCAGCAACTAGCTAGTAGAGCGTTGGCGATATCAACAACTGGCCAACTTGTCGTGTCAATGAGTCACTGGGAATGACGACGCTGGTCGCTTGTTGGAGACAAAGCCCCAGCTTGCAACAAACATACGCGTCAATTACAAACTGCTATACTCTCACAGACGCAGGGCAGCCAACTAGTCATAATTGCTAGACAAGCTACAAGTCTATGGGCTCAATCGGGCTTCGAATTGAGCAATTCAAGATTTCCAGAATGATGGCACATCCCGCAGGCTAGAGTCCAGGAGGTCATCCACTGAAAGTCGCAGTCGACGATCCCCCGGGCCCTGGACTCAAACTCCCCCAAGGTTCTGCAACAGCACGAATCGCACAACGTAATATTACAATAGGGCCGCTCAAAGTTAAATGCAGAAAAAACACGCGAGCAAACTCGAGTGCGGCTGAGTTGTGAGTTTGTGGGTGAATATTTAAGCTCCGACTGGAGATTCAAACTCCGCCAAAAAGCGTGCATGCTTATCAACAGAGAGATCTAGCAAGGGATAATGAACTGATAGCAAACAAGACAAACATCCATATTCACATGTACTACTACATACTATTGTTCTCCAATATAACGCGAGGGACCACTGCTTTTGTCGCTGATCTGGTGGGTTGTGATGCCAGGGAAGGGGCAGACGGCTCATACTCCATGGCAGCTATGGACAACGTATTAGGCGAGAGCAGTCGGAGTTTGAATACTGATATTCTCAGCCGAAAACTCACCACAAACACCCGAGGAATTAGCCGAACCTCTAGCAACTTTGAGGCGCGCTAATCATGACGAGTCAGCCCTTCAAATAGGTCAATGTGTCCGTCGTGCCCTGCGCACTGCGCAACTTCCGTGAGCGTCGAGTTTCCGCAGTGGAGTCCGATGTCACTGATTGATTATACCTTCCGTGACTCGCAGCAGATAAGACTTCTTTCTCACGCTGAACAGAGTATTCTGCAGTTGCTCTAAAATACATGGAGATATGTGCACACGTTTCAAACCAATATCGAAGAAGCAGGTCCGTAGGTCATCTAAACCAGGCAGTCATCATCGTTCGCGCGGTCTGCACAACGATGAGAACAAACCTCGTCAAGGATATCTTTAATCAATTCCAACTCATCGATGATTTTGTGAGGTGCCCAGAGTGAGCGGTCCCTGACAATCGACAACAGCGTGCTGTTGGAGATCATGTAGACCCGTTGGTCAGGTAGGCCACCTTCCTTCAGGTTTTTCTTGACACTTGCTCGCGTATCCGTAATGAACCGTCTGCGAGCATCAGGAAACAGTGACTCGCGTACAGCTCTATCGTCACGATCACTGTCATACCCATCCTTGTGCATGATATTACGGATGTGGATGTCCGCTTTCGAGCGAACGATATACGTGGGGATCTGGAATCTCCTACAGTTTGTCAAGATTGCGATGTCTGTCTCCGTGAAACGATTGTCAAATAGAACAACGACGCAATCAAACACGAAAAGGCCCTGTGTGTTGAAGTACAGCCAGTCTGGTTGTTGCAGAGTCCCTGCTCCTGGAATGTCGTACCACACGAACGGCAAATCAGGGTTCGGGTCGGGATATCGACCTATCGTGACAGTAGTTTCGACGATTCCACTTTCTGCGGCATCTTGGTGCTGAGCATCCACCCCACGGATGGCATTGACAAACGATGACTTGCCACTTCCCGCGACACCCGCGACAGCGAAATGGAAGCGACCTTGCTCGTATTGCACCCTTTTTTTCGCTGCGGATATCTCCTCCAATGTGGGTATGACGACCGGCCGTATACCCCTCTTGAGGCATTCCTCTGCATCGGCCTGCACCTCCTTAGCAGTCCGCGTGCTTTCTTCAGCCTCTCGTGCAGTTTTCTCCATCACCGCTTGTGTAACCTTTACCCTTTCGACGATTTCCATGGAATTTTGCCGAGCTTTCTTGGCCTTTTCTTGAATTCTCTCTGTTTCTCTCCGAACTTCGTCCAAACGTTCGACGCTGGGCCCTTTACCGCCGCGCCAGAATAGACCAAGTAATGGATCACCTTCTGCCTCGAGAGTCCGCTGCCTTCTCTTCGCCCTCCCAACTTCACGAGTGAGCTCCACTTCGCGGTGTAGAGCTCTAACCTTGTCCCGGATAGCCTGCTCTGACTGTCGCTGAGCTTCCTCTGCTACGCGGGCTGCTTCGCTCGCGTTCTGCGCGGCAAGCCCTGCAATCCCCCGCACGTACTCTTCACCACTCTCGCTTTCAGCCATAGCACGAAGTCTTGGATTGTCACGAACAGGACGTGTAGAAACGGATACGAGACGTTTCCAGATGTGCCATGCGAGCTGCAGCAGAGCGCACCCAGCAACTCCGATACCAACGACTAGGACTTGTCCCATTTCGCTGAAAGATATCTGGAATAAGCTTTGATCCTTAGACAACCCTGGATGCGAGGCAATTGAAGTGATGGAACATACTCTGCATCCAGTTGGAGAAGTTAGAGAGGACGGGGAGATTGATGTGGAACTCTTTAATAGGGCCTTTACCCACTCCACGACTTTGAAACGAGGACTCCATTGATAAACCCTAGTCCGCAAATGGCGCAATCACTTCATTCGCCGTCATCTTCTGGTCCATAACATGCCCATCAAGCATGACTGATATGCCGATCATGCAACAATGTCTCTCCTAAAGGAGAGCCCCCGTTCCTAACCATCCTGTTAGTGTCCCCTGAACCCAGACTGGAACATCCACAAGATGTTCACGTTCAATTCCGCTTTCCACTGATACTGTTCAGCCAACCCGGGTATACTTTCTTGCCTGTGCACTTCATCTCCACACCATCTTCACTTGGCAGGCTACTGTGCACCGTGACGGGCCAGGTCACCGGGCCTGTGATGGGATATAAGAGGTCAGCCTTGTGGAAAAAGATCCGTACCAACGCCTCGACTGCTACCTGTATTATCGCAATCGACTACAGTCTCCGCGTACCAAGCCCTCATACAGATGACATGCAAGGATTCTATCCGGAACTCGAGGTATAAATGCATCATGAATTCACAGAACGAGTGAACAGGGAGGTTTTCTGGTGAGGCAAAGGTTGGATCATGTCCTGAGCCAAGGACCACGCCGTCCGAAGCAAATGCTTCCATCCCCACCGAGCGTGCAAGTCCTTATTAATATCATTTGACACAATACGCTTTTGGTGCACCCATGTATATGGTCGTAGTGGCAATGGCTTTGTATGACGATGTAAGCCAACTGTCCCGTGAGGTTCAAAGGTGTACTCTCGTTTCCCTCGATGGTAACTGTTTCGATGAATTCTCTCAAACCTTTCGCTCCGCTGCGAGGGGTGATCAGACGTGCTCGATGTTAGTGGACATAACCGAATCACTTCTACAGAGTACATCTTTTTCTGCGTCGCTGCAGTATTTGGGGAACATGGACGGGGAGCTGGCTGCTCCAAGTAGACAGACAGAGAAAAACGCAAAGTATACAGACGATGAAGAAAATGAAGGCTACGCAGTCGTAGGAACACTCCGCCGTGTCTTTACATTTCTCGTGAGTTGCGATGAGAAAATATCAGACGCTGTTCTTTCACCACACCAAGTATTATCCACTCGACACAGGAGGGATGATGCCCACCTCTCCCCCACTCCTGACGTGGCAGGTCGCCAGTTTGTATACTATCACCGCATCTACGCACCATCTCCTGGTGGCCTGAATCCTATCAAGACCCGCACCAGGGTAAAGTGAGTTGAGGTGGTACGCCAAGGATTACAGGCAAATCGGCGTCGTTGGGAGTGTTACTGCGCCTTCGTAGCTACCAGTAGCGGTGGACACCCCAGCAAAGTTAAGAACTGTAATTTTGGCCACGTGGGCGTCGTGGTTACTTGTAAATAGCTTTACAGTATGCTGGTAAGCGTCAACAGCCCTCCTACCAATTTTCGGTCCCCAATCTCAGACACGCCTGACAAGATGTATCAGTCTTTCCTACTACAGAGCTCCACACACCACCAGATCGGTCTTGAAGTATTAATCGTCACGAATTTTTCCTCAGGGACTAGATGGTTCGACGTCGAAGCCAATCCATCTAAGGATGATTTTGCCTCAGCTTGCGAGAGAATGAAGAAGTCAGTGAAGGCATCATAACAAAGATCACTTTCGCGTACTTAGGTTCCAGCGAAGTCCAGTGGTCGTCAATATCGTGGACTCCACTCCGACGGGTAGCAACCCACACGTAGGTCCCAGTATGTCGTGATCGATGCGAATGCGATGCTATCCCTAGGGTGCTTGTTTAGTACTAGCCCTGCATGATCACACAACGTATACCTCGTCGAGCACCCAGGCAATGTTATCATCCGTGACCACAAATACCTTCTTTCGCGTTCGCCGTAGCTTGTGCAAGCACGAGAGTGTATGTATGGTCTGGTCCAATCTTCCACTCAGTCCTCCAAGGATGATAATTTCGTACTTCGTAATAAGCCTTGAGATCGAGCAAATTCGCGGCGTTCGATAAAACTTAGAGACCCACCTCCTGATTCTCTAGTTTCTCCTTTTCCTGGATCGATTGAACACACTTCATTAAATCTGTCGAATTTTGGTCATGGTCTCGTACGACCGGAACGCCCTACCCGACACCCAGACGTGAAAAAGACTAAGACCTCAACATCGACAATCAAACCTTGGAGGTATAGTAATCTTGCACATCAGCCCGCAAGGAATCCAGGTCGCCCTTAATCAAGTTCGGAACATAGCTGCGATCCTTTCGGGTGAGGCAATCACGACAGTTCAAGAATAGCAAAACCCACGAGCAACGAAGATCATCCTGGAGGAGATCAAACAGTCGGTTGGCACCTCCGTCTGCACAACAATGCCATGAGCAGGCGTTCCATAGTATGTCCAGTAGATTCCGGGAGTATGGTTGGTTTAGGATGATCAATCCACGTGCAACTGGTGGCGTACTCGGGATAGAAGGGTTCAAAAATGACACGTCCCACTCTATGATCCCAGTCTGAGATGCATTACTGGGCGTATAGAACAACGTGCTTATGCCAGCACCCATGTTATCTACGACGATGTCTGCGAGAGTTGGCCTAGTGTGTCAAGTTTCAGCATTCCCACCCGCGGTCATCATATCAAATACGGTGCCGAGTAGTGTGTTGAAGAGACATGAAAAACTGAAAACACCGGAATTCGCTGCTGCGGTTGCCAGTGAGTGGATGATAACCTGCGTGGCAGTTGTGACTCCTTGTAGGTAGCCCATCAACTGCGACCAGGCATGTTCGTGCCAAAGCTATGTGCATGAGCTGAGATTGGTATCGTACATCGAACACAAGAACCTATGCGACCCGGCCGAAAGCTAGTAAATCATGATGAACAGTACGTACATAACACTTCGCGAGAAGGACAGGCCAGTACGTCTAATAGCTCCGCAACTCTAATAGGTGCGCTGCAGATAGTAGCAACCCTCGAACGCCAGCTGGAGCCTGGAGTATTAGCTTACTTACTCAAAACCGTGGACGTCTTACACTCGTTGCGGGAACAACATACTTTGGTCATCTCCGCAGTAGAGCAGGAGAAGATCAAACTTGCAAATGACGTTGACCAATGTACACTGTGTCCGAAGCCGATGGGATGAAGCATGTGACGGACTGTCTCACTGAGAAATGTGTGGGAGGAGTCCTTATCTATTCTCTCCGGTCCTGACGGACCGGTATGGTTCAGATCCCAAGGAATGGACTTCGTGGTTTTGCAGTTGCATGCGCCATCTGTCAGAGCGTCAATAGTAAACCAAAAGTCTTTACGGTCTTCCCGCCATCGTAACTTTGCAGTGGCCGATCGTCCAGCATTCCATACTTTGTCATGTTAGTTGAGCACTTAGTATTACAATCGTAGAAGATGCATTTGATACATGAGGTCAATAGTCTTCGTGGTTGACCACACATTTTGTGGGTCATGAGTAAGACTTTTTGCTCGCGCCGAACGGGATCGGGGCAGCCCACGGAGTGTACGACATACAATGTGAGGGGGAAAGAGATAAACTAGTTCACCTGCGTTACCTATAACATGAACATAATCTGGCAGTGCACATGCGCGAGTATCAAACAAGTCTCGAAATAACAGGCCCATAGGCCATCTAATCTGAGCAGTCATCATTGTTTGTGCGAGAGAAACGAGGAGAACAAGCCTCGTCCAGGATGTCCTTAATCAAATCCAACTCGTCGATAATTCTGTAAGAGAACTGAAGTGAACGATCCTTGACGATGGACAGCAGCGTCCTATTGGAGATCATGTAGACCCGTTGGTCAGGTAGTTCGGCTTCCTTGAGGTTCCGTTTGACATTTTCCCGTGTATCTGCAATGAACTTTTGGCGAGCGGTACTGTACTGCGACTCGCGCCCCGGCATCTCATCAAAATCACTGTCGTACCCGTTTTCATACATGATGTTGCGAATGTGTATGTCCGCCTTCGAGCGAACGATGTACGTCGGGATCTGGAATCTCCTGCAGTTCGTCAAGATTGCGATATCCGTCTGTGTGAAGCGATTGTCGAAGAGGACGACGACACAGTCAAACACGAAGAGACCCTGGGCGTTGAAGTACAGCCAGTCTGGCTGATGCAGAGTCCCTGCCCCGGGAACATCGTACCACACGAACGGAAAGTCAGTGTTCGGGTCTGGATATCGACCTATTGTAACAGTGGTTTCGACGACTCCAGTTTTCGCAGCGTCCTGGTGCCGACTCTCCAGACCACGGATGGCGTTGATCAACGATGACTTGCCACTACCGGCGACACCTGCCACAGCGAAATGAAAGCGACCCTGCTCATATTGCACCTTTGTTTTCGCTGCGGTTATTTCGTCCAATGTGGGTATGACGACCGGCTGTATACCCCTCTTAAGGCGCTCCTCCGCCTCTTCCTGCGCCTCCTTGGCAGCACGGGCAGTTTCTGCAGCTTCCCGTGCGGCTTTCTCCGCTGCCGCTTGTGCAGCCCTTGCCTTTTCGGCGATCTCCTTGGAAGCTTGCTGAGCGTCTCTAACCTTCTCTTCAGCCCGCCGTGTTTCTTTCTGGGCTTTTTCCAAACGTTTGGCCCTAGACCGTTTACTACTTCGTGATAACTCGTGCACTTGCGATGTGTTGCATTCTGCTTGGATATTCTGCTCCTTTCTTCTCGCCGCCTCGGCCTTGCGAATGAGTTCATCTTCATGGAGGCGAGCTCTCCTCTCGTCCTGCCACGCTGCTTCTGATTGCTGTTGGGCCTGTTCAGCAGCCCGAGTTGCTTTGCTCGCATCCCGCGTTGCGAGTTGGGCCATTTCCAACACGTACTCCTTGCCGCTCTGGGTTTCAGCCACGGCACGCAGCCTCGGGTTGTCACGAACACGATGTGTACGGATGAACCTGAGCCTTTTCCAGATGTGCCAAGCAAGGCGAAGTAGAGCGTAGCCAGCAAGTCCAACGGCGCCAATGGCTAAGACTTGACCCATCCCATCGAACGACTACCTAGTCTTCATCCTTAGACAACCCTATGTCGTGGAAATGATGGGAACGCACCCCGTACGCAGTTGGAGAAAGCAGGGAGAGCAATGAAACTAGTGTGGGGCTCTTTAAGGCCCTGTGATGGCGGCAAGGGCATCGAACTCAATAAGGAACGCCTGTGGAAGACTCGGCTATCCCATTCTCGTGCTGCTGTGGAAACCTACTGCACCGTCACATGGCCTGCGTAGATAATACGTATGACACCCTCCGAAGAACTTCGAGGTTTAGGCCCGAATGTTAGCGAACCGTATCTGTGACTGCATGGCGGGACAGTGCAGACCAGTTGATCCACTGCCACGACATGGAGTGAAGGATACGAAGCCTCTACATACACAGTGTGTGGGAAACAAGTATACGGCATCTACTAGTACATCACCGTTGGACCAAACCTGGAATGGTTGATTGGGTTTTCAACGTGTGGTCAAGGGGGCTTCCGCATGCCTGCTAAATCGGCGAGGTTGGGCTGACACCCTGGTAGCAATTGCCCGTTGCCCCGTGGTTCACTTTTGACTTACTCCTTTGGCTGGCAAGTCATCGTTCCAGTTGAGGGTACGTTTTCTTTCCTGTGCTCTTGGTCCCACCACTATAATCTTCGTCTGGCAGGCTACTTGTGCACAATGGGTCAAGCTGCGAGCACCATTCCTATCGTGCTGTACCAAGTGTATCGAATTGCAAAAGTCATCGTCAATATTGTTGACTCCATCCTCGAATCACATGTCCGCGACAACCCGACCATGGTTAACCTCGATGGTGCCAAAGATGGGAGGGACTATGCCCAGAGAACCGCACGAGCTGCCGCAGAGGAAGCGGCCACAGCACTTCCACAGATGGCGTTGATCGCCAAGCAGGCACAAGTAGTTGCGGAAGAGCGCCTCCGGAAGGGCGTGCAGCCGGTGGTCATACCATCCTCCACCGAATTAGCAGCCGCGAAGAAGAGAGTACAGTACAAGGAGGGACTCCTCCACTTCGCCGTCGCAGGTGTCTCTGGTAGCGGGAAATCTTCGTTGATTAACGCCTTCCGTGGTGTACGCAACGGCGATACTGGTGCAGCACCCACTGGTGTCATCGAAACCACCTCCCAGACTGATCGATACCCTGATCCAAACCCAAGGCTCCCGTTTGTGTGGTACGATGTCCCAGGAGCAGGTACTCTCAACCAGCCAGACTGGTCGTATTTCAACTCGCAAGGCCTCTTCGTGTTCGATTGCATCATTGTCTTGTTCGACAACCGCCTCACCCTGACAGACATCTCTATCTTGACGAACTGCAGACGATTCCAAATCCCCGCTTACATCGTGCGCTCCAAAGCGGATGTTCACATCCGCAATGTCATGACTGATATGGGTTATGACAGTGAGAACGATGGTGGAACTCGTCATGGGGAGGCGTACAACGCTGCCCGCGAGCACTACATCGCTGAGACGCGGGCAACCGTTCAAAAGAACCTCAAAGAAGCCGGTTTACCTGACCAAAGGGTTTACGTTGTCTCCCACAAGACAATGATATCTACTGTGAAAAATCGCGTGTTATCCCCAAAAACGATCCATGAGTTGGAGTTGATGAGAGATTTGCTCGAAGAAGCTTGTGCTCGCCGGTGCATTCCCCGCAGTGATGCAACGCAAGCGAATGGTGGACAATCGATCTGGTCCTGAGTCCGCGCGTCTACTGCAGGACAAGGCCTAGTGCACTCGAGGTGTATTTATCGCTACCTTTTCTTCCCATTTTCGTTCTTGTCTCAGCAACAGATTCCATTCTTTGCACTACACCGACACACTGTACGATACCTGGCCCCTTTTTCTTTCATATGCATCTCACTATCAACAGAACAAAAGTGTATTTGAACCGAACCGTAACTATAATCAGAGAGATGTTGTAATGCGAAGCAAATGCCACGTACTCGCGTACAGCAATCTTCACGCTCTATCCTCAAGTGCAACGCAGCGACGTCCACAGGCCTCTTCAAGTAAATCCTTCAATAACCCCATCTCGTCAAGCGCCGTCTTGGGTAAGATGTGTTCCTTAACTGCAGACAACAAAACCTTGTTGGACACGAGGTAGACCTTCTGTGGTGGTATCATTGCATCTCGAAGGTTTTTCTGCACAGTTGCCCGCGAGTCTGAGATGCAACGTTGATGGGCTGCATTGTACATCGTCTCATATTGTGGTTCGTCATCATCGTCGCTGTCATAGCCCATATCGCTCATGAGGTTGCGGATATGGACATCTGCCTTTGACCTCACGATATAGGTGGGGATCTGGAATCGTTGGCAGTTTTCCAAGATTGCAGTGTCCATTTGTGTGAAGCGCTCGCCGACGAGGACGATAATGCAATCAAATATGAAGAGTCCCCGGTTATTGAAGTACTGCCAACCTGGCTGGCTGAGGGTCCCCGCCCCCGGAATGTCATACCACACGAATGGCAACCGGTGATTTGAATCGCGATATGGAACAATCGTGGTTGTGGTTTCGACAACTCCAGTGGGAGCAGCACCACTATCGCTGTTGCGCAGACCGCGGAGAGCGTTGACTAGAGATGATTTCCCGCTCCCAGCAACACCTGCAATGGCAAAGTGGAACAATCTGTCTTGATGTTGCACCCTGGCCTTTGCTGTCGCAACCTCCTCAGGAGTGGGCAAGCCGACTGACTGCACGCCCCTTCTGAGACGTTCTTCTGCTTCCTCTTGTGCTCGAGCAATAGCTTCCAGGGTGGGGTTGGTAACCACGCGTAAGCTTTGGATTATCTGGACGATAGCCAGCAATATCGACCATTGTTGCCCCATTGATCTAGTACCATGCATAGCATCGTTAAACAAGGGGGATACTGGCTGCGACACACCTTTCTTTAGATGGTCGTGGAATGAGAGTGTACGGACGACACCACTGAAGGTGAGTTACGTGTAACGGGAGACGCTGCTAGCATGACTATTGGGTCGCGCTTGTCGTGAGCGCAAACAGTCCCATCGTAGGGCAAGGGGTTTAAACGCGACATAGCCTGGGTAGATCGATCTTAATAACATAGCCACAAGAAGCTCGCATGCACTTACTCACTAGTAGTGACCTCGATTGGTCAGAGTGCAGCACGTAAGTAGCAGTGGTCTAGAAATCCAGGCTGAGTACCCTTCGGGTCGCGCCTGAAAGTGAGAAGGGCAGGATATCAGGACTACGGAATCCAACTGGAAAGCGATAATTTCGGTTGCTTGTTTTGCACCCTTGATCTGGCATCTTTGTGGATTCTGAAAATCAACCAGATCATCAGTAATTTCCATCAATTGACATACTCTGGAGCTGGAAGCTGTCCATCCTCCAATTCCACCGTATGTGGTACTGAGCAGGCTTTGACCGAGACCTAGTGGTGGCATATGAGTGGATTACATAATCCCCACTGCGTAGTTTCGCTCAACTCGTCATCGCGGTGGTCAAAAACAGCTGGAATGGCGTCTCGTTCGCTGCTCCGCGCGTCTTCTGCAGTCCGGCACGCTCGACGATATCGCCAACCAGTTCCAATATGGTTCTCATCGACGCCCTCAAAGGACGTGCCAAAAGATGCAAGTACGGCCGTACAGACCCCGGCTCGTCAGCAGTCCTGGCTTACCCAGAAAGTAAAATCAAACCCGGTTTTTTATACTATCTTTCTCGGGCTCGCACGGGCACTCGGGTACGGGTCGCCGCAGCAATTGGCCAACCGGCGAGCTCTCCATCTATACAACCACCTCTGTGCAAAGCGTGCAGATGAAGAGGCTGACTTTTGGAAGAATGGTATGTTCATGTCCCTTACCCGGTCTTATGTTTCGTTACCTCACGTTTTTGTGCTCACAGAATGCGCCCTTCCACCGACATTTCAGTCTTGGTTTACAACTACCAACTTCCATGTCTGGCTTCTGACTGTCCGCCTCCGTTCGCTCCCCGCTCCGCACGGAAAGCAACATATCCAAGGTCTGATCGACCATTTTTTCCAGGACGTCGAAGAACGCGTTCGGTATGTCCTCCAACCTGGTTTGTTGCCTCCTCGCTCGCCTTCTCCGTCTTCACCAAACTCCCCCAAAATTTCCACACCGCTGCCCCAAGTCCGTGCCGACAACGCATCGTACATCTCTCCGTATCTACCAAGCCAGTTCTACACCCAACCGTCCTCACTCCCACCACCGGACTCGTTTCCGTCACCTACTGCATATGCAAAAGCCCAGAAACGTGGCCGTGCTGCAGAGCGAGTCATCGTACGACAAATGAAGATCCTCAAAGAACAGTGGGTTGGTCTCGGCATGAGCATGGATCTCGGACTCTTGCGCGGAGATGCGGAGCTCGCAGCAGCAGTCTGGCGCAACCTCCTCGGTGCTCGGGGGGCCGCAGGTGTCGGCCTCCCAATCGAAAACGGGGTTAAAGCTGATGACACCCGTCCTGCATTTAGACGATCAGTGAACCTTGTCGGTGGCGCGGTCGACCGTGTGGATAAGTTGAATATCGATGCAGAAGAAATGAAAGATGACCAAAGTGGTGTACACGATTTCCCCCCACACGAAAGTGATCGGTGAGTTTTTTTTTTTTGTTCCATTCGTTCCTGTCGCTCCGCAATTTACGTATAATTGCCCATGGCAGGTATATATCCTATCCAGAGATAATGTCCGCCCTCGTAACATACGTTCGACGAGAAGCTCAGCGCCTGGAAAAGGTTGCCGATTCCTCGATACTTGGACCCCGTACCGTCGGACGGGAGGGCGAGGGTATTAAGGCACTTCGGTGGGGACCAATAAGGCAGTAGCACCGAGGTTCTCCTCCGTCTTGTAGTTCACACTAATAGATCAGCCTGTCAACCCCAGTGCCCACCCCTCTTTCGGACCATCTGGTGCGATGTCATTTCACTGTGGATACATTCGCAAGGCAGTGAGTATTGCCAATCTCGGCTTAGGCAGACTCTTCGTTTGGTCATTAGACGGGTGCCCGAGATCTCCACTTGTCAGGTGAGGAGCCTTATATGACCTTGCTTCCCATCGATAACACCTCACGTCCTGGGGCTGTGGGACATGGTATGTGCTTAGCTGTGTTCACCTGATCGCTGATATCACGACAGTGATTGTTATCCTTGACCCCCTTTCTTTGCAGTGGCCGGAATTGTATAGGTACGCTAAGTACCAATCGCTAATCGTGAGTTACTAGTTTGAATTGATTATCCGGTGTTCCACGGGCCTGTGCCATCGAACTATATCGAGAGCGGCACCCACATTTGTCAGACTAAGACTTTGCTAATGAAATATTAGCCCCGACCGGTGCCAATATCCCCCGACAACTGACAGTGTAGTCTACCTTCATTTGTAAGTTGTTTTACAGTACAGGGGATCAGGGTACATCAAGGTACATACTACTGATATACTTCCGTCGTGCTAGTGTAGGCACACCGTCAACGTACATAGAACTCAAACTTCTCACGCCCATCGGCCAAGAAGTGCCATGATGCCCGTTCCAAACAGCATACAGGTTACAGCGTATGCAACCTTGCCATTGGGCGCATTCGTCATTTCTTTGTTAAACAAAAATTCATGTGCCAGTAGCTGTGGAAGAATCGCATGGCAATTAGTTATCGTAAACTCCCGGCTCGCATAATAGTATTCACCTCTACCAGACCGGTGTAAAGGAGGATGCCGGAACTGAGCGAGTCCATGACGCCACTAACGATCGAAGCCGTAGTGCTTCCCGGATTATATGTACTTCGGACACCAAGTCCCGCGGCGATACCGATCGGGGTAGTGATGGCATAGAAAGTCCCAGCCATCACAGGAACATAGTTGTAGCGCGGTGAAAGTTTTAAGAGTGATAAACGAGAGCCCAAACCAAGGCCCTCGAACAATTCTGTTTCACGCGTCAACATTCGAGCCGAGGAGAAACGCCACCCAACACTCACGATGGAATACAACGACAACAAATAGAATTTTAAAATTCTCGTCAACGGCAAGTGTAAGGCCAATGAGTAGACTGCAGACGCGCTCAGTCCAGAAGTCGCCTCCGAGGAAATATATATACTCACCTGTGAAGGAGTACACCAAACTCTAAGATAAATACGCCGATGATCTGAGCGAGCGCACTGTCGTCAGTAGCCAGACCACCATTGCCAGTCTCGAGGTCGCTTCCATCTGCCTGCGAGTTCTTGTCGAGGTATGCTTCGGGTCCATGTGCAGCATGCGAGCCGACACCATGGCCATGGGCATCTATGGGGGGTTAGATAGATAAGGCTAATAAGAAGCAGAAGAGCATACCATGCACTACGCCAAGTGCGGCAAGTTTTGCTGTTCCCCACCGGAAGGCCACGAGCTCGACAATGAAGATGGAAAACAAAGAGAGCATCGCGAGTGCGAGTGCGTACGGCTAGAGAAAGAGAGGAAGAAAAAAGTCAACGTTGATCCACGGGACCATGCTAGATAAAACGCCGTGCACGTACATATACCTGCCATGCAGGAGATAGACATGGAGACGTGAGCTCGGATATTCCGGGACTCAACAAGTGTATGAAAGCGGTGGCTATCTGATCGTTTGTCAGACGACAGTTGAGTATTAAACATCTCGATATCGCGTACAATAACACCGGAACCAAAATATTTGGCAAATCTATCCATCGGATCAGAAGAGAGGGAAAGAATGAGACAAAAAGCATGACCCACTCATAGACGGGTGTGGGGACATGAAGCCATGAGGATCTCCTGGCGAGGACAGGGAAGAGTGCGCCAAAGCCAGACCCTACAAGGATGATGAAGATGGAGGCTATCCGAAGCCCAGTGTAGGTGTCTGCTCCTCCACCCGAACCGCAGTTGATGTCGCTGGATGACATTGGGGAGGAAGGAAGGGCTAGCGTGTGGTAAGAGGGTCCCACAAGGCTTTATATATTTACCATAAGAGCGAAAGTCCACTGGACGGCCACTGGGTTTTGGTGGTTCATGACCGTGAGGGTACCCGCAACCAATCATTTTCTCACGTTGTCTAGGGGGTGCCCCCAATGCGGGCGTCCTGACCCAAGCCCTTGGCCATCACAACTAGTACATATTTACTTCACTGTCCTCTACAAACTAACGTAACATCCCAAAGTTGCGCCATGAACATTTCTCTTTAAAAGCCTTTCTTCGCCGGGTGTGGAGTGGAATCGCGACTGCCGTCTGACCAACACGCTCTGACCATTATGTAAGATCGACGACCTCTGCGGTACTCGAAACGCCGACACGACCGATAACTAATTGTATCCAATCATCGTGTGGGCCCGGTGCCCCCTACCATGAGGACCGGCACCCATGTATGTAGTTATGGAGACGGCGTAGGATGCCATCAATCACGGGGCTACCCTCACAGTCATCGGGAAATGCTCAATATGTGTGTTATCGCTTTCATCGGAAGCAGACACAGGTTTTCAGCCATAAAGCAGGCCCCAATTGAGTGACATGACCTCACAGGGCACGCTGCAGAGCCTTCTATAGACATTGACTTTTCGTCTAATATTATCCCCACACACATGATTTTTCCATTTATAAATCTCGTTGGCAGGCATTCCGATTCTGGCGACCTGAAACAATTCTACGGAGTTTCTGTACAGTCCAAGAGAAAACCCTTGACCCTCAATAGAGCAGACGATTGCAGGTCTGGAGCAGTTTGATATTTCCTGGCAAAGCTGATAACAAATCTAGGTTTCTGGTTTCTGGGTTCTGAGCGACCCAAACAGTCGGTAAGGGGAAGGGGGACACATGACAAAAGTCATGTACTGGGAGATGTCCTGACACAGTTATCCACCTTCCGGGAGGGGTGAATCCAGCTTAACAGTCCCTCTGTCTATCTCGAGGCGGTCTGAGGTCGATCCTGAGTATCCCATCTGTCCATCACCAACTCAATTCTCCAGGCACACAATAGGACCAACCTTATGACGTTCCAGTCCCTCCCTCGTCCACAACCCAAGTCAGTCATGTTAGCAGGAGCCCATACTCAACAGCGGAATGACATCGCCTGCGTACCTGAAAGGTAGGATGGACACCGTGGAACTTCCAACGACACCCGCATCTATCATAGAAGGTGAATGAGATGATTCTGCGCCAATGATCATCGACTTCTGTGCCTAAAGCGCGAACCTTTCAAACCTGCATTCCTCATGCATTGTCCGAGGAAGCCATCTTCCCATATTTACATGACATCTCTTCCAGAATAGTCACTCCGTTTCAGAGGTAGGAAGTCGAGTAGCTGACACTGGCACACGACCAACGTGCTGGATGGCGATCAAAACTGATGAGATAAGGGAAGAGTCGGATACCATTATACCATTCTTGTACAACATCTGTGTCCGTGAGAGGTCCGCGCAGAGAAGGCATACTTCGCGTTCCAAACCATGTGAGGGCACCAATGATAAGTCGTAATGGTGTAGACCGAGTCTGCAAGAAAAAACACTTGCAAAGTACCGTCCCAGCGACAACGTCCTGGACTGGTGGATACATACATGGTTGGGTCCCACGATAACAACGCGCAGGGTCATCACCACACAATCCCCACACACACTCAAGTCACGAAGTTGTGACTTCGGTCTATCTGACCGCCGGAACTCGGCTTCGGGGAAGCGTACTTGCAAGAAGCAAAGAACTCCATTGCCATCAGAAAAGCGGGACTCGCCCTTAGAGGGGATCGGCGTTCCTTTTTTGTCAATGACTGAGACTTGAGTTATCAAATAGACATCCTCGGCTGTATGGAGTTAGAAAGTAAGATGATGATTGCAGGTTCCGTGGGGGAAGCACGGAGAAGTTGAAAAACATGAAAAACTGATGCAGGGAAGATAGCTCTAGCATCGGCCACCCATACCCGTTCCCATGTTTCCAGGCTGAAGGCTCGTTATGCAACATTCCGCTTGTCGTTCCACGGGCTTCGTACTCGGGAACACATTCTTCGATTACGAATCTCATAACATGTCACAGGCTATTCTGAATCTGTGACGCACTTAGCTTGGTCTCCAACTTACTATTGAAGTCCGATGCCATCTAATATCTAGACATTAGCGCTTTTCTATTGCCTGCAGTTGGCTTCACCCGGGCAGCGCACTGCAACAAGAGGACTCGTTCCAACGCAGAGCAGCTTTAATAAGATGGACGCGAACCTGAGAAGCCGGACCATGATGGCCGCATGGCAGGCGAAAGCAACTAGCGAACCTCGACATCCTTGGGCCGAGGGAGCGTTCGATAGAAGACACGGATGGACCTACTGGAGTGCACTTTTGGGCACGTGTAATGGCTTTGACTTGTTCGCCAGGGTCGGAGAAAAAGAACCCAAGGATGATCCTACGAGAATTACAAAAATAGACCATGCGGAATTTAACTTATCCATCATGGCGTTCTTTATTTCCGCGATTCAGGGCGATGTCAAGTGAAGACTCGTACGAGATCGGAAGAATGTCGAAAATGAGGTTGGTAAGTAGAAGCCGTTCAAGCTGACAGTCCCAAAGTCTTGGACACCATCGTGCGGCGATACTGCAACCTGCTTGAAAGATCAACAGACCTACCAATAGCTTCGAAAGTCCCACAGCCAACCGACGATGTCTGGTTAATAATCAGGTTTGCGTGAGCGTGAGGTCTTTAATCATCCCGTATACGGTTGTAGTACGTATATCCATCAACTCACCGATCAGCCCACAGGATACGCATGTCATGGTATGGTTGCTTCTGTGAACGACATCTGATGCATAGTTTCCCGTACAAGGGTAACGTAACTCCCTCACGATAGGGTCTGAGAAGACCTTGGTTTACTCTTGAAAAATTGGGTTCGAAATTCACATACACCGACACCATTCGACCACGATAACGGTGGTAGAGAGCTGTAGTCGAGTCGCGAATGGAAAGTGTCGACCAAAAAATACCCTATCGGGACGGGGGGTACAAGTCGTAACGGCTCAAGTCCTTCTCAGAATCCCAGGAATCATCCAAAAAAGGGTCAATGTGAAACAGGCGCACGCCTAGCTGATACCGAATGACAGATCTGGTGTGGCTCATGATTGGGACTTTGTCGCACCGGCGTTCTGTATATAGATTGTGTAGGAGGCTGGTGAGTGCCGGATGCAACTGTAGCGGAGTTCGACATCTAGTCCAGTCCCACTTTCGTACCTACTACTGGTCTGGTAACCGGACTACGTACCCACACACGCACGGTCACAGGCCTTTTGGACACGACACCCTAGGGTCTCCTAGGGCCTACGATTTACAAGGGACCACCGTGCACAGGTTGCTTGGAGAACCCAAATACCCAACCCTTAATATACGTATCGAATGGAGTTCCTTCGCTCTGCGGATGATGGTCTGCCAACACTACCTCTCCGGTATTAATCTGCGCTCATCTGCGTCAGATATCCGTCGGACCGAAGTTACTACTGGCTACGATGTCAGACACCTGGCCTGACCATTCGATGACAGCGTTGTCATGCTTCAATCTCTAAAACCCCCAGGGAGATAAGAAAAGGTATATCCGTGTGCCGCAGCTTCGTGCAACGGAACTTGCAGTGATAACCCAGGACGAAGGTCCTTGTACATATCGCAGCAACTAAGTGTCGAATGTCCAGTGCTGTCACTCTTGTTTAGCTGTCCAATTTGAGATTTTGCAAGGGCCTGAAACGAGTTGGGACCGCGAATGAAAATGGAGAAGGTCATGTTTTTATCGTGTCGTGTGACCAGGGACGCTGCGGACCGGCCCAACGATCCTCGACCTCAGAAGCACTTAACAGGCGTAAAGTCCTAGTCGCGTTTGTAAAGTGGCAGCTAGGGTATGAAGAGCGTCATCCGTCCACTTCGAAGAGCGGAAATTGAATTAAATTCCTCCCAATCAAGAAGACCTCTTTCTATAGTACATCATAACTCGACGCAGAAGAACTCATCACATACTTGCACATTTCAATTGACATGGAACCCTTTCTTAGACCAACAGCTTCATCGTACAAATAATACCACAACGTCCGTTCTTCTTCCCACATCAATACTTGAGGCGGGTCACAGTCCTCGAAAGGTTGTACGCCGCCGAGATCAACGTGACATGCCTGCACACCCGAAGCCGAACAAAGAAGAGGTAAATTCCCCATGTCAAAGCTATGCACACTTCTAAAACTGTAGGCAGAAAAACACGTACGTGAATCCTTGCACTGCATTTCCAAGTCTATACAGAGGTAGGTCTGAACAGCAGCTCAACGACAATTCAGCAGTGAAAATGACTCACGCATCTCCGGCATCAGATATTTCTTCCGTACAAAGACCCACATGGTTAGAATAAAGCAAGAAGTCCTGTTCGGCATTCCGATCAGATGCCCAATCCACTAAACGCTGCCGTGGAACTCCGTGCCTCAAACATTGCAATCGCGCGGGTTAGCAGCGGTCGGTCGTACTCCCCAGCTCGAGTGAGCGCCTCTACACACCTGCGAAAGGAAAGTCCAATATTAAGTGAAGAAGGATGCGGATAGACGGAAGTCCATCAGCCGACCAGAGAGTACAAAGACAGAACGTTCCCTCTTTACCGCCAACTCCATCGTCCGTCTTGGTGACGTCGTAGCGGTAGACGAGATTCTGTCGAATAGTCAGTACAAGCTCAAATCAAGCCGCATTTGAACAATGACTCACATTGGATGTTAACCCTCCCCTCTCCGGCGACTTGAGTATTTGCTTGAGGGTGCTCACAAACCTCGGATCTGCCTAAACCCACACTGAAGTCAGCCCGACCGTTGGTAAGATGACAACATGAAAGGAAACCATGCGCACAGGGAGCCATGAAGAAAACAAGCGGCATGATGAGCACAGCAGAATCAAGCACGTCTGTCTCCTCGTAGCTTTGTCCGAACACCTTGAGCGTAGGGTTCCAGGCTTTCGTCATAATTTCTTCGTAGAGTGCGTCACGTGTTGCAGTACCACACCGAGCGTTGTGGACATGGAAGGGAGCGTTTTTCGACAATGCGAATTCCTGCCATCGTGCATTTGTGAGTAAGCATTTAGACACAGACGTGGTAGCAAATTACCTCGGTCGATTGCGACCCTTACGAATGGTTACTTGTCAAGGTGAGCAGAGGTACAGTGATTAAGAAGAACGTACCACAGCATGATCTATGCACGCAAACTGTCAACTGAAAAGCACGACAGGATCAAAGCGGTAAGTCTGACCTTGGAATACTGAACCCCGCACAATTCAGTGGAAGCGACGATCAAGGGCATGATATTCAGCGTACCGTAAAGTGACGGTCTTTACCCCGGACCTCCCTGTGATAAGCACATACAGACTCAGACTCGAGACTTCTTTTCCTGGCTCGGACTGACCATATAGACCTACGAACAAGGAACATCGATGCCATTAGTCCTTCGGGTTTTCGTATTGCAAAAGTAAACCTCACAAGTCAGGTTCGCGGCAATGATCAACGACGTCTGCCAGGTTGAAGGAATGGGATGAGTCCCACAAGGAAATAGGTTTGGAACTGCTCTTACAATCTACGCTAGTAAACTATCGTTTGAGTACGACGTAGGAACCGATGGCGTGTGCAAAACTTACAGATCCCGCACGAGTACCCTACACCACGGATTATACGATTCTTGACAGTGGGTTCGCATCTCTAGCCAAACAACAAGCTTACCATGTGTCATATCCCTATGACGTTGTAGTGGATGAGCAGCACCCTGCCTGAGGAACCTATAGGACGTACCAAAGGTCGACCAAACTGTTTGGGATTCGATGCGATGAGTCGCTGGGGGAAGCAACGAAGATGCGCTGGCGCACCTTCTGGCCCAAGTATATACAGTCCATCCTAATGCAAAATGTTAATTATAGGGAGGAGGCAAGTGAGTGGGACGCGTGCAGTTCGCCGTATATGTCCTGCGTACATGTGTCAAACGCCAACAGCACCAGCGATGCAAGCACGTGCACTTACAAGCTGAGTGTGATTTGCAGCTCCGTTTCCAATTCTGTGTCCCATATTCAGCCAAAGCGATAACAGATCGGAAGTGCGCCTACCTGACAGGTTTCGATCCTTTGTGTCCGTCTAAATGGGAAAGTTCAATCTCTGGAAGGTCCTTGCCACCTAATTGACCATGACATAGACCAAACACCTCGTACGTTAGATGCATACCATGAATCGTGTACCTGAGACTCAGTCAGTGACCCCGACGACGAACTGTAAAAAGTTGCCCATACATGATCTGCAAGGATCCATCAGGATTCTTATCTCTCAGTCTGTCGAAAATAAACTCCAGATATGCTGGCCCAATCTCAGAATCCGGTCCCCATGACAGTTGTAAAAGCAGAACGTACCATTGGCTTCCTGAGTAAACCCGAGACGTATAAGTGCATAAAGTGTGAATGACGAGTCACGGATCCAAGATGCACTGTGATTCAGCCAAGCTTAACTTCGAAAAAATTAACGCAAGGAATACAATCATACCGATAATCCCTAATCAGGTAATTGAACACACATCAAACATAGATGGAATGCACTCGACGACCTACCAGTTCCTAGTGCCACCAATGTACTCTGGAAGGCTAAACGTGGGGCTTGCGACGACCGCACCTGGTGTCAAGAGGTTGGAAACTGCAGTCCGCACAACAGCTTCCAGCTTACCCGTGGGCTCATATATCAACAATTTGAGGGCAAGAGCACTTCGGTTCACAGCTTCCCTCCAAGACCCTTGATACGTAGACTTGCGTATCCAGTTGTTCCAGTACTCATGGGTTAACTGAGTGGTAGTCTTTTCTTAGATATGATCAACAAAAAGCGACGACAAGTATCGCACATGGAAGAGCTGTTCCAGAAAATCCTGTGGCAGTAACAGCTTACTTCAACATTATCACACAAAACGTAGGGTGACGAACCGCATTGAGCAAGGGGTCATCTTGCGGCCTCATCTTCGAGGCACCCGCAATCAAGGCTAACCCAAATAAGGCACGCATCGCCTCGTCATGAGAAATACTCACCTTCAAGGGGGATACCCAACCTGTCTGCAAGTTCTTGAGTGGGCCTCGCCTCTGGGGCACCCACCCTTTCTGGGCATATTCTCAGGATGAACGTGACTCTCTGACCCTCAACGAGGGACAGGTTACAGCACACGGCCGGGCCAAGATGTCCCTCTTTCGACAGGTTTAAGTAGTCGATGTTCACCTCTGGCTCGGGTAGGTTATCGAGGGTAGCCTCTGACACGTAACGCAAGTCGAGCTCAAGATTGGGTGATTTGAACCGCACTTTCTTTTGGTGACAGTACTCGACGGAATCGTCAGGCAGGAAGTCAGTCGTGTGCTCATCACGAGCATAGTTGAATGCAGGGGCACATTCCATTCTGAGAGAAGGCAACGCCAGCGGATGACCTTGGTCGTGTGACTGAAGTAAATATGCGCCACTGTAGAACCCAAATCGAGGCGTACCTCGACCCGCCGGATGAGCCAAAACAATGGAGGGGACCGAACTGTCACCATCATTCCCATGGCGAGGTAAAAAATCTTTGGTGCTCGTGTGAGCAGGATCCCATATGCCAAGCAAACTTTGTGGAAACTACTACCTGTCACGTTAACTACGCCCTCGTCGTTGAGGAACCTACATATAGGATAGTCATAAGCAGCTGTCGATGGCCCTTCCATGTGGCTGTCAGTGTGACTTACTTCGTTTGCAGAATGTTAGAATTAGGGTAAATAGTTTTGTTTCGTAGCGAATGGGACAGTTGGCGTGATAGAGAAATGGCCGCCCTATTAGGTGAGATATGTTCGTAAGCCAGTCAACAGAAACGAAGAGGGCTGACCTTGTACTTGTCGAGTATGCGTGCAAACACGGACGGCGAATCGAAATTTGGAATGCAATAACTTTCAACTTGTGACAGACAGGATGAAGTCAATCTCTGTACAATATCACGAGCGTCGAGCACAAGGCAGGGTCACGAAACAGACTCCCTGGGGGTGGGAAACGCTAGTAAAATGCTCCGAACCCACCTGAGCCATCCAAGCTAATCTATTGGAATTTAGCTCCGCTCAGCACTGATTGACATGAGCACGAGAAGACACTTACGAGTGCAGCTGTTCTCAAATTGCCGATGCTATGTGGCTGAATGAGATAAGTCAGCTCGGAAGGAGTATGCCATACACACATTGCGTGGTCTGCAATTGGGATGTAATCTCGTTCTACAGTTGGATCTCGTACGTTCATGATGATAAGCTAGACCGTGATGATCGACGACGATGAGTGGCAGCCGTGCGTGCCACGCTGGCGCTGATAAGCCACGAATGAACGCCAGCCTGACTAATAACTTTGTCATGGCATATAGACTTTCTCGGACCAATCACTGTGCGTTTAACTATCAGACAGTTGTCAGCCTGAGTCTATATACTCATAGTCGGTACAGGGAGAGAGAAATGGTAACGTTGTTCTCCTAGTGCAGAAGGTTAGGCTCAGAGATTCTAGCCCTCTGAGATGGTGGGGTCGGTGGGAACGCCGGAAGCGAATATGTTCAGCACGTCAAACGGGGAAACATCGCTGCAATACCCAAAATTCCGCTAGATTAGTAGTAGTACAGGGGGCCCCGTCACGTTCGTCGCGAATATGTGCACACACGTTGCTGCAAGACCTGAGTGTGACAGGACGTGAAAGTTTTGCCTATAACGAATCAGACGTGCGCGCATTTTAGCATAGGTATGTAGACCAGGCCAGGCTTTGCACTGGCTTGTTGTCAATGACCCTTCATTGGACTCCAAAGTCCGGGTACTGAGAAAGCTTGTTGTTACGGTCGTCGGACACATCGGATTCCATTTAGCACGGTTGCTGGGCCAACCAAGTGGTATGGCGCTGTAGATTCCTGTCGAGGGTAACTGTGAGCCGATTACAGGGCGGAACCTGGGCCACTGCCCTCCGTTTGTCATCAGACGGCCGCATCATGTGGGTGTGGCAACCTGACGCACGTGTGTATTGCACTGCAGTTTACAGCAGTCGCAATTGCTGTGAATAAAAACATGAAATATTCAACATGGACAGATGCAAGCGACGCTCAGAAGCACTTACCACTGTCAACTACAGCATCATGGGATTCTGAGAGTGTTGACAGACGTCAGGCCATCAACGTTCGGCTTCGGTCCAAAATTGACAAAGGGTGCCGGTACCGGGTTATGTGTAATGTTACCGAATACGGTATCGGCCTACTTTTGAAGTTCCTGGGTTCCTTGCCCCAGGGCTCCTATCTTAGTGTGTAGGCTCCACGGCTAAACTCGGGTCCAGTTGAGATTATTTTACTAGCCTAATTTTCAATGCCCTTGCAGAAACAGATAAAGAGTGGATCCAATGACAGTCCAACACCCAGGCTTCCCATTCCCCTCTCACCATGACGGATACCGAACAAGGACACCCTCCAGTCCGTGCAGCGCTCCAGGACTATGAGCGCGACCCAGGTAACAAGCCCCCCTACGTGCTCACTTTTGCCGAAGTAAAGCTACTGGGTATCGCCGGTGTACGTCCTCCAATCGCTCTCTACAGAAAATAACCCCTGACGCTATTCCTCGTACAGGTCGGATTCTTCCTCGACGGTATGCTCACATCGTCTTCCTTGATGTCACTCCTCGGCTGACCATCCCGCAGCTTATGATCTGTTCATTATCAACGTCAGTGTCCTTGCGTCAGCCGTTTCCCATTTCGTTTACCTATATTCCATTCGCAGCCCGTCTCCACCATGCTTCAATACAGACTTTACGGAGGTAAAAGTCTTCCAAACAACCTCCAGGGTGTCTTGAAGGCATCAGCCAACATTGGAAGTGTCATTGGTCAATTCAGTTTCGGTACGTGTGCACACCACCTCTTTTTCAAACTCGTTTTCAATTTCTGCCCCACGTCGCCTCCAGGTTACATGGCGGACGCTCTCGGCCGTAAAGCTATTTGTATGTGGATTCCCCCTGTATTAAGGTGACCCTCGAGAGCTCAATATCATTTTAAGATGGAAAAGAACTCATGCTCATCATCTTTGCAACGATTATGTGCATTTCATGTCCAACGAGTCAGTATTCCGAACATGTCTGATTACGCGCCACTGACGTCTCCTCAGACGACCTATCCCCTGACAGTTGCTTGATATGGCTCACTATTTTCCGAGTCATACTCGGTATCGGAGTCGGTGGCGACTATCCCATGTCCGCTTCGGTCACCAGTGATCGGGCTGTGATCCGCAAACGAGGTACCCTTCTTGCATACATATTTGCCAACCAGGGATGGGGAAGTCTTGTCGGCAGCTTGGCCACCATAATCGTTCTTGCTTGTTACAAGCATGTCATGAATGATGAAGGCGAAACGTCCAAGGTCGATGGGGTATGGAGAATCGTCATCGGCCTCTCATTGATTCCCGCCTTCGGAACATTATACCAACGTCTGACCCTTCCCGAAGCTGAGCGTTACAAGAAAGCCAAAAATGCTACTGTATTCGAGATAGACGATGTCAAGGAACTCAAAGAGGGTGTCAAGGTGTCTAGTCTTACCGAAACCGTCGAAGAAATCCCTGAGGATATCCAACGGAAAGCCCACTTCGGGGGTATGTACCATAATCGGTTCTATTTCTCCGCTCGCAATGATCTGATCGGCATCTAGAGTTCATAGAGTACTTCTCCGAATGGCGACATGCCAAGATCCTGATCGGTACTTGTACCTGCTGGTTCCTGCTCGATATCGCGTATGTTTTTGTCGCGTTGTGCCTCGGGAGTAATACTGATCCATGTTCAGTTTCTACGGTATCAACCTGAACCAGAACGTCGTACTCGAGTCGATCGGATATGACGGCAAGACTGGGACGGATTGGGAAAAGCTATTCAAGATTTCTACTGGCAACATCATTATCACTGCTCTTGGATTCGTGCCTGGTACGGCCAATGTTTTAGTCGTTCGCAGGAACTCCTAACGCAGCATGTAGGTTACTATGTCACTGTCTTGACGATCGAGAAGCTCGGCCGGAAGGTTATTCAAATTCAAGGCTTCCTCATGACTGCCCTTTTCTGTACGTGACACCAGTCCCCGTATTCGACGCGGTACTCATTCTTGCTTCAAGTGGGCATCCTTGCTGGCAAGTTCACAAGCTTGGACAATGCTTCGTTCATAGTCTGCTTTGCATTCCTTCAGGTGGGCTCTTCCCATGCATGTTTTGCATCACCCTGATCTCCACCATCCAGTTCTTCTTCAACTTTGGGCCTAATGCGTGAGTGACCCCTGTTTCCGCAGGCCATTTATCCTAACCCCGCGTCGCCTTTCTTCTCCGCCGCGCCCAGCACGACATATGTAAGGCTCTCTCTCCCTACCAACTTAGCTGGCTTTACTAATTACATCTCGTAGTGTTACCCGGCAGAAGTATTCCCCACCAAATACCGTGCTACCGCACACGGTATATCTGCAGCATGTGGAAAAGCTGGCGCCATTATCTCCGCTCTCGTGTTCAATACTCTCACATCGTCGATCGGAACGCCCGCCGTGCTTTGGAGTAAGACCTTGCATTATCCTCACATTTCGCAGCGTCGCTGACATTAGCATGTAGTTTTCTTTGGATGCTGCCTTGTTGGATCTGGTACGTTGTCTCCTCTTTCAGATCCGCAGTGCGACTTGCTAATACCACTGACTTTAAAGTCTTCACACTCCTACTCCCCGAGGTCGCCGGGCGCGATCCGGATGCCATCCTTGCCGAAGAGATCAGAGAAAAGCGACTGCATCAAAGGCGCTGAACCTGTAGCGTGTAGCGTGACGCCTCTAATGGCAGTACGTGTAGCCCTTTTTACTAACTCCCCTACGACCAAGTGTCGTTCGTTGTACATACACTATGACATCCTACCCATATCAAAACATTTTTTCTCTGCTCGAAAATGGTCCATTCGGCATGTGTGCATAACACTCCGTTATTTTGCCCGCGGCATCTTTTCATTCATCTCATTCGGAGATAGATCCAGCTGAAGTCAAATCAGAAAATCCCAAACCGGGGTCGCAAGGCTGCCTGCCGTTAGTCTCCCCTAGGCAAACCAAAGACTCGACGGGTAGCGATCATTCCCTCGCCTGCCGTATTTCCAATCTAATTGGCAACTTGATTGAGGATCGTTCCGTGGGTCCTACAGCTTTAACCCCCCTGAAAATAAGTGGTAAGCGAAAACACATTCACCCATTTAATGCCTCCAGTCTATTCCTTCGTGTGAACCCCTGACAATGATTGGAGAAAACGTCGTAAAGGGATTTCACGTGACCACCATGCAATGGTATCACTAATACAAGTCCGAGAGTCGGTTTGCCTTCTGCTTGTCATCGCGTGGAGTCTTGGATATTACTCTATTATTGCCTGTCGTAAGTTCTTGGTTTGGGTTTCATGAACTCTCATGGGACAGGCGCAGCTCCAGCTTCCCAGTTTCCCCTTAGCAACGGTTGACATTGCAGGGAAAAAAAACTGTCACACGAAACGGGTGCTCACACGACCACCAAGTAAACATGTCAGTGGTATCCCTGCAAGTCCGAAAGTCACCGAGTCTGTCTTTTGCCTACTTATCATCACATGGAATCCGCAGTCCCTTCCCTACAACCCTTCTGATGGTTATCTTGGGTTCATGAGCCTTCGTGAACTCCCATGAGTCTGGTACCGTTCTGACGTTCCCGTTCCGCCTGACAATGATTGACACTACAGGGAAAGAAAACTGCCATACGTCGTAAACGTGCTCACGCGACCACAAAGTGGTATTCTGGGGTATCTGTAAGTCTGTCTTCTGCATGTCACCGGGTTGACACGGCAGGAAAAAAAAACTGTCACACGTGGTAAACGTGCTCAGTGACTGAGTGCTCACACGACTGCGAAGTAGGCGTGCTAGGGGCATCACTGTAAGGAAGGTAGGTTCGTCTTCTGAATGTCATCGGTGGAGTCCGCGGTAAGACAACTTCTAAGTTTGCGACAATATTCGTATGACATTGAGTGGATGTAAGTGCATTTGAACTCATGGGGTATATTTTATGCAGCTCCTGATATGTACATGAGATGTCGACGGGACATGACAGCATCAAGAATCAAGGCAGGAACAGGCTTCCGAATGTTCCGCCTACGGAAGCAACTGGCCGGCTTATGTGTTCAAAGTACCTGCCCCCATTATCCACCCAACCGCTTTCATTGCTACTTGCGACGATGAAATCTTCTGGCTTTACTTCCTGGGTCTCCTTCACTAGAGGTGAATTTCGATGCCGCCTGAGCATCCATTTTCACGTGTTATCAAAGTGGGTCACAGGTCTAAATACAAACCTGTGCGACACAGTGATTTTGAAATTGATCTCACTCATCTGTGCCCATGGACTGGCGTTCACTACGGCTCCCGTGCGCAGAGAGGAAATCTAGAGGGCGACGGAAAGCACAGAAACGGCCGATGCAATTACCCAATCCCATTTGCGAGAAGGTAAGGATTGGTTAGCGGTGAAATTGTAACGGTGGACAGAAACCTTGCACGGGGAGGCTCGCAGGTGATTGTCTTGAGATTTTTCAACCACAAGTACAGTGTAGATTTACAAGCTCACAGAACATGAAGTGTACAAAGCAAACGACGCTACTGGACTAGTTCAGAAGTATCCCTGTGGGTGGAACGAAGAAGCCACAAGCAGCTCAGCTGAGAAAAGTCGGCAGATGTGGAGGTATTGAGAGCGCCGACGCCAAACCTGCCCGATAGCGTGTCAAGCAGGGCGCTCCAAAACGCAGCGGCGAGAACGAGCCTCCTCGAGTAAGTCGTTCATTAACTCAAGTTCGTCAATGATCTCTGGGGAAAGCTTCCGCCCCTTCGTCACGGTAAGTAGATTCTTGTTGGAAACGATGTAAACCTTCTGGCGCGGTAGATTTGCTTCTTGGAGGTTGCGTTGGACAGTGGCCCGCGTGGCCGTAATGAACTGCTCACGTGCCTGGACGTACATTGACTGATATTGCGCACCATCGTCTTCGTCAGGGTCGTACCCCATATCGTCTATGATGTTACGGATATGGGAGTCCGCCTTCGAACGTACAATGTACGTGGGGATTTGGAAGCGCTGGCAGTTGGTAAGGATGGCAATATCCGTCTGGGTGAAGCGGTTGTCGAAGAGGACAATGATGCAGTCAAAGACAAAAAGACCTTGGTTATTGAAGTATAGCCAGTCTGGCTGAGAAAGGGTCCCTGCACCGGGAATATCATACCATACGAAGGGATTGTCGGAATTGGGGTCCGGGTAACGACCGATAGTGGATGTCGTTTCCACAACACCCGCTCCAGCAGCACCCCGGTCCTTGTTACGCAATCCGCGGAGAGCGTTGATCAAAGAAGACTTGCCAGTTCCAGCAACCCCTGCGACGGCGAAGTGGAATATGCCCTCCTGGTATTCCATCCTGGCTTTCACTGCATCTACCTCTTTGGGAGTAGGCAAGACGACAGGTTGGATGCCATTTCTAAGTCGCTCCTCCGCATCCCGCCGAGCTGCCTCAGCGGCCTCTACTTTGTCCGTGGCAGCTCTATCCGCTGCTTCCTGAGCAGCCTTCCTCACGAAGTCTTCCGGACTCTTAGCTTTAACAATGGCGTTTAAAGTCGGATTTGCGGATTTAGCTCTGCCTCGAAGTGACTGCAGAATGGCTATCAGGAACCCTATCGCCTCAGTGAACATGGGGCCGACTGGCACGACTTGTCCCATTGTCTAGGAGGATGTTTAGTTGAGCCAACGGGAAAAAGTACATGTGTTGGGACGTACCCTATGCGAGATGAGAAGCGAGATGAGGGCAAGCCTTGCAGGTTTTGGGGTCGAGCTTTATATGCACACAGCACGTCTTATCTAGTCCATCTAAGTTCCAAGGATCACGAAATCAGTTCGTTTGTGGACTGTGCGGACGGTGTACGGCGATATCTATGGAAGGCCGGACAATCGCGCTGCCGAACAGGCATGTGCTCTCGGTGGAACGCCGGAGTGCATCAAAGATTCAAGAATTTCGGACGACAGGACTTGCAGTCATTGGCAGTCGCGTCGTCAACTCCCTCTCACTAGGTTATAGTGTTTTAGTACGCTGGACATTCGCTGACGATGTTGGTATGATGTGGAAGACTTCGGGAGACCCTGCATGTTGGACTTGGGCGCGCCTCACCTCACGGTCTCCTACTTGAATCTTGGGGGAAGTCATTCGCTTTGCTTGCTGTAGGGCTCCCTGTGACGTACGAGATGTTCTCTATGGTCCCCCTGACTTAGACGTCCTCGAAGGGGACGTTTCCGTCAGAATCACCCGTCTTCTGGGCTCCCTATGACATGTTCCTTGCTCCACTGCGTACGAACGATGCTTCGCCCCTGAGGTTCTTCAAGCTCCCTCCTACCCCCCTGCTACTGTATGCGCTCGCCTTCTCAGCCATTTGTTGCACTTGGCCCCCACTGGTAAAGGTTGAAGACAAGTTCAGTACGAAATCACGTCAGCGACAGACGATGACATCTTATGAAGTTAGCCTGGTATTATTATTATATGAATAATTTTATCGTGGCACGTTAAGTCTCAGCCTTTCTGCTGTCTGGAATCACCCACCGATCCCTTCACAGTCAGGCGTAGCAGTGGTATGCCCACGCCGTCTGAGCACTCCTCCCGTCCGTCATTTAAAAACGATGGTGAATATTCCGCTATGGTGAAGCAGTGTGGTGTAGACTTTCTGCGGATGTCTGGGCTGTCTTGTCGACGTTCACTAATGTTAACATCATTGAGCAGTTGGCGGGTGACAGAATCCATCGGCTTGAGAACATCATGATGATGGATGCGAGTTGCCACTGAGCCTTCGGTACTTTCTTCTCGCGGCTTAAACCCATGGAGGTGCGTTCACCTGGTCTTCTCCTTCGTACACTTTCTTAATATTTGTCCACAGGATGCACCTGATTCATATAATGCACAGGAATTTCGACAAGCGCGAACCTGGGCATTCCTGCATCAGCAAATCATAAGTCTGCTTAACCGTGCTTGACCACTTAGCAGCACCTGTCAAGCACGTAAGTAGCATAAGCACGTTAAGCACCCACATTGCCAAGCATGCATGACCGCTAAGTAACTTGGCGAATGTTTAAGTGTGACTCAAGTAGATAAGCATCCCAAGCAGCTAAGTTACTATGGAATTTGAGCATACAATCAAGTATACTACAAGTATGAATCTGATAAAAGCGAAAATGCATGATGATCGATAAATCTGTTCACATAGAAGGTGGTAAATGCATCGTAAGAATGATGCGGCTTTATGGTTCTGGGAATGGGGTGGGTGCTGTACAAGGGGACAAGGTGTGCCGCACGATATATGGTGTCTACATGTATGACAGCGGTGGCCAGGTGATGATTTGCAGTAAGGGCCAGGCGTACGATCCACATCCCCATATCCACATCTGGGTCATCCCTGACACAGTCAAACCACTGCACTACTGCGCATGGGTAACACTTGCTTTGGGAAACGAAGGAAAAAAACCCAAGGATACGCACAACATCCAAACCATGCATCCCCTTCAGCCCTGGATTAGTATTCACAAATGCATAGTCATACCAGGGTGGCCTGTTCTGCCACAAATGACACGAGTGGATATACTCATGCCGCATGCCACCAATACCACTGATATCACTTGGCACATAGAATAGTGCAGCTGCAGAATTAACGAAGGTGATTTTGTTGCCATAGATGGGGCACTCAGATAGTGGGATGTCACAGAGATCGCGGTAGTCTTCAGCATCGGCTTGTTGAAGCAGGAACTCCTCCAGAATGGTAGGGAGATGTGATAGACCGAGCTCAATTGCAAGATCTGTTACGGTTCTGGCCTGCTTCATTTCTGAATGCAAGAGGTTGATTTTGTGAGCCGCTGCACTACTCAGGTTAATAAGGTACATATGGGTGGTGCGAGTGAGTTCAACATGTGCCTCTATGGATGTTGGGCAGTCCACAGCCTCACCATTGTCTTCGTTATGGGGACTGGAACCTAGGACCTGTGATGTACTGCCATTCTCTCTGCCATCTGTTTACTTCATGTGAATATGATGAAAATCAATATGATCATCCAATGACCGACCTTGAGTTGAAAGGAGCTGCATAGTTGCCATGAGGCAGTTTCCCTCTAGCATCCCTCGTTTGTTGAAATCCCTTCGAGAGGCCACCAACTTATCTAAGCACTGATTGATAATGAGCATTTGGCCCAGTGGCTTGTTATGATTGGTCCGCTGGTATGGGTCCTTCACAGCATCGATATGCTTTGATTCGGTGATTGATGTGCAAAGTCCATTCGGCGCCCCAAATAAATGTATAAGATCAGGGTAGTGTTTCATCGCATGCTGGCGTGGTAAGGAAAAAGTTTGAATGGTACCTGATTGGCGAAATATTTCCCGGTACTTGTGAAAGTGGTTGATGGTATCTTGAACTGCAACCAAGGTTTCTTCAGTGAAGACATTGTGACAGACCAGGTATGTGAACTCCAACAAAGCGTGAAATGTTCACACAATCTCTGTTGGTACATGCCCCTCAATGGCAGGTAGATACACCTATGTATCGAACATTAATGACAGACTGTATAAACAACCTGATCTAAAATTACCTTCATTAGTGCCTTTGAGTCGTTACCAGTCCACTGTTTGAAATGACGGCCCTTGGGAAAGTGACGGAGCCCTGTGAAAGGCACAACGGCCACGATTCTAAGGTATCCTACATGAGGAAAGAAAGAAATGTAAATTAAAGCAGATGTACCTCTGGTCAATATCATCTAAGATCACATTCACCTTTGTTGTGCCATGCACAGTCTTCAAATAGCTTTCAACCCACTCGACCAAATGATCCTTGAACATCCCTTTGATGATCTGGTGTAGTATATCAGGGGCAATGAGTTGGTATATATCGGCATGGGGAAAACTGCTGGTGAACGGCTGAAATCGGTTTTCAGGACACAGGCACAGTGGAATCTAAGTGAAACAATACTTACAATTGTATCACCCACAATGCCATACACATCCTGTAAGGTCTTGAGATCAAACTCCTTGATCAGTGCTTCTGCATGTTTGTGACTCTGATAAAGTGCATCAGTATCAAGTTCCTGCCTCATCACAAGACATCTGAGATTCTAGTTAGTTGATAGTAAGAGTTGGAAAGTAGAAAAACATACTTTGCACACCACCCTCGCACAATACATGCCAGAAGGACTTGTTCCTCATAATCAGCGATATAAGGGCCGAGTCCAAAAATTACATGGCGATAGTGTCCATCACCGAACCACATAACAGTTGGTTTGGTCATTGCAGGCTTGAGATTTTGAAGGATATATGTGAGTGATGAATGAAAGAGTTGGTGGCAGAATTGTCAGAATGTGTTGGTGGATGCATTCTCTTTGTCGGCTACAAGTATATCTCTCATTAGCGCCATTACTTTCCTATGTATCTATCAGATGCACTTACTATGTGGGATTGCAAGGAAAGCGATGAGAGTGACACTATTGCAATGTGCACAATGAACTTTGTTGCTCATGTTACCTATTGAGAGGTAGAGGGGATAATAATCATTTTGACCAGTTGCAACTGACATGGTTGTCTTGTCACTGCCAAGGATGATTGGAACAAAGGTTGACCCATGCATGGTTGAATCACGAGAAATTATGTCCTGTTATTTGCATGCCATTAGTACAGTGCTCAGAGACATAGAAGATAAAAGACGCACTGCTTGAGTCCACACCCAATCACCAGACATGAAATCCTCCCACTGTCTCTTGTCCGTTGTGCTCTCATATTCCCGAAACAGCTGGTAATCCATGTCTCTCGAAAAATCAGGTTGGGAAAGCATATCGTGAATAACGTCTTTAGGGTCCCGGAACCAAATATCGTACATGGCATTCATCCATGATGGGACATTATCAGTTGGTTGTTCACTGGTATAGGATATGCAAAAATTCTCCCACTGTACATCACCAAGTATAGTGCGATCAATCGTCTTGTACATTTCAGCGCTATCTTTGAAGACGGGCTGGCTGCCAGCACCAAGAAGTGTCGCATTCCAGAGATCTAGTAACTCGTTAATATTGGCTGCAGACATCTGGCTGCAGGTGAACAGGAAGTCAGCTAGCTTGAACTCCAGGTGACTGGAGTATGGTGACCAATCATTAGGTTGCTTTTCAGAAGGAGTTTGTGGGGATGACTGTCCAACTGGGAGGGGGTTTCCAGATGAATCACAAGGCTGCCCTGTCAAATAATACATTGGTAAATACTTAATTTTTCACCCATACTGCATACTGGTGAGGTGTGGGTGATAGTTCCGATAATACTTGTCACCTTGTCCAACAAACTCTGCCAGAAGGGTTGGATTCGAAGGGCTTGTGGATGGGTCACTATAGTCATCGTTGTCCGGTCAGAACTGGAATTGTTCCTCTTCAGGTGATGGTACCTGATCTGGCTGTTCTACCTGCACGGGGATATTGATAGGCGGAAATACTGGGTGGTATATGTTGATGTGCTGGGTTAGGCCCGACTTGTTTCTGAACCATTGACAGCAGCCAGGTTTTGTGCAGGGAATCATATCTGAAAGAAAAATGATGAGTAATGGGAGTTACTGTGGGACAGCAAAGATTTGCCAACTGAACATAGAATCAAACTAAGCCAAAAGAGATGGCACCAGGTGTACTTTTTTTCTTCTGTCTCTTCGTCTTCCACCTTCACACACAGCCAACAACCCTTTGCACTGTGAGATATGGACAACCAACCAGCCACAGAGTGCCCACAGGAGACACTTGCAAGTGGTCGCCTGAAGTGCCAGGTGGCTAACATGCATCCCGGTAGGATCGTCCTTGACAGCCAACCAAGAAGACGGACGAGTGTGGAGAAGGAAGCTAACAATGAATGCACCTGGGAAGCCCTTGCCAAAAAGGTTGCAGTGCTGAAGAGAGGTTATCAATGGATCGGTGAAATTGAGGATGAAATGGAGGTCAACCAAAGTGGTGTTGCCGCTGGCACTAAGCCCATCAAGCCATGTCCTTGTCCTTGTCCTCGTCCTCATGCTGTTGGCAGGCAAAGAAATGAGAGTGATGGCAGTATCTATCATGCTTAACCAAGAAAACATGAGGCTGATTTTTTTTGTAGGGATGAATGAGCCACTTACCCCCCTAGCTGACGTGGAAGACAATGCTGGACCTGTAGTGATGAAGGGGAAAGGGACAAAAGCAGCAAAGGCAAAATCACTACATGAAGCGATAATCTCCACACGCAACAAAGTATCCCCACCATCAACACATGACAATAGCATCGGCACTAGTACTGGTTTGATGTGCGTCTTACTTCTTAACATGTTCCTCCTAACTGAGGCAACTCTTTTCTTTGCGAATGTCCTAACGACTGCCAGCTCTGACAATAAACTGACTTTATCTAAGCGTGTCAAAAATTGGGTGAACATCATCAACACAAGCTCTATGCAATCTTCGAGTGCCAGTGCCAGTCCTTGCACATCAGCTGCACCACCTCCATCCACAAGTACCCTCGCTACAAGTACTATCAATGTCGAGTTCTGTGTATTCAATCTCAGCTCTCCACTGCCAAATGATCCCCAATACAACTATGAGTTCGAATCCCAACTACCAGAAAACTTCAACTTGCTACCTGATCGCAAAGATGGAGAAGCTAGTGGGCCAGTGAGACCTCTGGCTTTGGACGTCCCTGCTCTTCAAAATGTTATCATTGAGTATCTTTCATGCTGAAACAGTTTTTACTCATGCAATGGTAGTCTCAGTGCACTGCTGCAATGGCTGAGGAGTATGAGGCCAATGATCCTGCCACCAGACTCACCAACATCAAGAGGAAAGTAGCCGAGTTGGAATACATCTCGACCTCTGAGGTTGAGGGCAATGGCATTGATGATAACTGTGACAATCTAGACGATGCCATCTGTGTTTTGGGGCACAAGAATGCTGCAGCCAAGGTATGTGCTGACCACCTTTCTCCATGTTCCTTCATCTTTTATTTTCTTTCAGTTGCATGTCATGGTTACAAAGGGCATGCCAAAGAAGATCAAGATACAAGCTTGCGACTCTATGTCCAGCTTATCAGCCACATCTACTAGCAAGAGATCTATCGTAGCGAGTGATTCATCGAGTCAAGTGCAGACCATCCCTGTGCAAGTGCGTTTCAACAATTTGGATCTCCCCTCAGATCTGCATAAAGATCAGAAGTGGAAGAGGGAAGTTATTCTGACGCTAATCCTATGGGCCAGAAACCAAGAGGATGCATTCAACATCGCCAAGCAAGATATTTGTGGGGCTCTACAGGAGATCATGCCACTTGTATACCCCATACTCAAGAACATGGCAGGTAGCATTCTTCCCAGCTTGCCCATGGTTTCTGTCGTAAGTCCATTTCATTCTGACTTCATCTGTAGCTGACCATGTTTGCCATAGGCATCTCAATGCTTGTGTGATTGGAGGCACAGCTTTGCCTCCACGGCTGTTGTGCAACTCGTAGCTTTCTTCCTCAATCCTCAAGACCCATTGCCCACCGACACTGCAAAAGTATTACTTGATCATTTCACATTCTTATATGAAGACCTCGACATGACTGTTCCTGAGAAGGCCTTCCACTCCATTTTTGTGCAACAGCTGCTGCTGAGCAGCCATTTGACCACAACCAAAGGATATGTTCAAGTCCCCACTCTTGACACTTCGTCTTTGGCGAAGCATGGTGTTGTTGGTGCTCTTGGACTTTGTGCTGCTGCGGTAACATTTATCGAGTCATTTTCATAGCTACAGTATTGATTAGTTTTTTAGCTCTCACATGGCTTGAACCTCGTTAGATCTGGTGATGTCGAGCTCAAGTCCCCCATCAATGTCAAAGATGGTATTGCCAAAGTGGCAACGAGGTTTGTGCAGACCCCCGTCAAATACAACATGGCTTTGGGCAAGGATAGCAAGACTGCGTGTGCATTTTCAGACCAGAATTGGGGAGCCCCAACGAGGAAGTTTATGGGGGCCACCAAAAGAAGATCTATTGCTCAGCTTCAAGCCATTGTAGAGCTCGCCCTTGCTTCGCTTGCAATAGGGCAAGAACTCGACCCCAAGCTGTTGAGTGATGCAGGATCTGATGACAAGTATGCACTTATCTGTAGGTTTTCATTCCCTACTGCTTATACGATCCACTGAGTCCACAACAGGATCTCTAATACATCTTCCCAATTGCTATCACTAGTTTGTCTATGTTTTTCAATCCCTCGATCTTACTGCCATGTAATTTACTTCACCTCTACTTAGCATGTGCTTAGTGGATATTAATTGCACTTCGTTGCTGCTTATCTGCTTGACGGAACAGAACCAGCATTATTTCAAGTAAGAAACTAATAAGCTAAGCACACATTAAGTAAAAAATAAGCAGTGCTAAGTAAGTATCCAGCAGAAGGATCTACTTATCCAAGCAGACGGCTGCTTGGCAGTTGGTATGATAAGCAAATGTTAAGTAGCTGTCAAGTAAGGATAAGTAAACTCGTGATTTGCTGATGTGACACCCTCTACTTTGCCACAACAACTGAATTGCCTCTGCCCATATGAGCATTTCTTGCGCTTCATGTGCTTTGTTGTGAGGTAGTGTGGATGTCTGGAGCTGTATAGTACATCACGGACATAGGGAGGATGATGAATGGGACAGGAGCCCTGGAAAATGATGGCTTGACTGCTGACATCACTGACGAAAGCGTTAACATTTGACATTTACTGACTTGTTTTACTGCCTATTAGCTTGTCTCAACATCACTTGGTGTTAACTTGGCAACGGCCTTCGCACTGCACTGGATTGGATTGGATCAACGGACTATGTTCCAGAGTAGCTCAGGTCCTACCCATCGTCCCTAATTGTTTATTGGACAGACGAATGCATGGGAGATGAGCAGAACATAATAATGAGTCTGACATTCACTATGCTATCTGATAGCATGAGTTATCGGTGTCATCGTCAAACTTGTCACGCAAGTTCTCTGGACATGCCTTACTCCTTGCTGGTGCACATGAAATGGGAAAGACTGCTCCTACACTCACTGTGTCTCACGAACTTGGAGTCTGCAAGGCACCGTTCTGTCTAATGCACAGTACGGAGGTGAAGAATCCATCCTCGTCTCATGCATTTCGCTAGGATCTGTCCTGTCAGTGGTTGGGCTGGGCCGAGCATTAGCTCGGTGGAGGTGAGGCAGGTGGAGCCACTCACCCATAGGCCGGAACCCTGTGGCTGTGTGCCTGCCAAATGCCCAACCCCGAGAGTGGAGGCCTCAGTTTCGGATACAGCATTAGCTAGGTGCTGGGATGCAATTTGCTCAAAGGCTCATATATATACTTGATAGGCTAGTGATTTCCACCGTCCGGCAATGCGAATGATTTCTGGGTTTACTTTCTTGGCAAGGAAGAAGGAGGCTCCGCCGATACGAAAGGAGTGGCCAAAGTGGTTCCCCCATCCCCACGCTGATAGGATGCTGTTGATGTGCTCCATGGCACAGGATTTGACCATGGGACAGGGAAGACCTGAGGAGTCCCTCCATGAGAATAGTGGGTCTGAGGCTGATGCTGGTGTAACCATGGCCATGTTACAAAGGGCTACCAGAGGGCAGAGACTACCCTGTTCATTCAGGAAAACTGACTGTGATTCTCCAGGTTTGGCTGTTTTGGCTGTGGGTAGGTCTAAACGGGCATAGGGGGAGCCTCTGAGGTCTGTCCTGAAGAAGGCATTGCCTCTTGTGAGATGATGGCTTGGATTGAAGGCTGCACGTGATACTACAGACACTTCACCAAAATGCATCATCCCAAAGAAGGCACATGTCAACATTGCCCAGATGCAGGCATCAAATGGGTCTGATAGGGTTAGTGAGGCTTTCAGGGCTGATAGCATAGCAATTGTGATAGGGCGACAAGGAGGGTGATGGCGACACACTCCGAGGTTCTTGAGGCCACGGAGAGACCAATTGATGTGCTTGAGGTGGGAGTCATCAAGTGGAGCAGGCCATCCTTGTGCAATGTGCCATGCTCAGACTGCTGATAGGTACTTATGAGCAACAGATGGTGCTACAGGTTCAAATGGCACAGAGGTGCCCGAAATTCCCAATTCAGGTGATGTGGGGTCTGAAGCTGCCCATATGGCAAAGGAGTGTAGTAGTGAGAAGGATGCTGGGAGGCGCTCAGCTTCGGGGATGGAGAAAATGTCACAGAAAATGTGGAATTTGCAGATGCCTGATCCATATGCTGCAGCATCATGTAGGGAGGCACAGGATGCAGTGGCTGCTATTTGCTGGATTATTGGATTGGCTATGGTGGCAGAGGGGGGAGTGTTGATGCCTCTCCACAGGAATAGTCATTCTGCAGCTCTACATTCTGGACAAAGTGGGGATGGATTTAGCTGCAGTGCAGAGGTGTTTGTGGTAGGAGATAGCATCATTCCTATAAATATTCTAACATGTTGGCTAGGTAGGGGGGGATTGGGGGATAGACTTGGGTTGAGGCTGCTGGGAAGCCAGTGAGGAAACCCTTGATGTCGCCACGGGATAATGCATTGGCAATGTTGTCCCGACTGGGAACATGGATTGCCTGCACTGCTACATCTAAGTTGGCTTGGAGAAGGTACAAGCGGCAGAGGACTTCGTTGATCTGATGGCTGCGGGAACATCCCTTGTTGGTAACCATCACTACTCCTAAGTTGTCAGAGTGAACTAGTATATTGTGGTGATGTGAAAGTGCAGGTAGGCCAATGTGTATAGCCATTAAAAGGCCTAGCTCTATGGAGACTGCTTTGGCCCATCCTATGTTGAAGGCCTGGTCCAGACTGACCTGGAATCCTGGCTTCCATTTCCATATGGCCCAGTAGGATCCTATTGTAATTCCAATTCCAAAGGAGGAGCTTGCGTCGCCCCACCAGTCGATGTCTATTGGGTCTGTATGACTCAGTGATATCTCGCTCTTTGATCGGGTTAATAAGGTATGTATCCATGGTAGATCGCTCCACACATAGTGTGGAGATGCTCGTCAAGCACGCTGTGAGCAGAAGGATGTTGCGAAGATGGATAGTGAATGCAGGAAAGGGTGGATTAGTGGGAAGATGCAGGATGCATGGACAAGTTTTCTGTGGAGGCTCTCGGTCTCTTTCTGAGTGTGCCGAGAGCCTGGGGCTAGCCAGCTCTCCAGTAGTTGGATGAGACATGTCCGTTTTCTGATGGTAGAGCTACAGTCTTTGTTTCGAGATCCCAGTTGAAACCAATATACCACTGGCATGAGGCTAGTGGGCAAGTCTTTCATTCGCTCCATGGCATGCCGGCAGCTGATGTTAGGTTTATGAAGTCACGTTCTGTCCAGGTCTGGTCTGGTGTGCGGAAAACTATGAAATCGTTGACCCATTTTTTTATTAGGTGAAAGCCAGCTTCGTTGCAGATTGCAACTAGCATGTCCACAACCGAGCCAAATACTCCAGCACTGGATGATAGGCCGAACATTAGCGCTCTGTCTACATACACAAGACCTTCCCATGCTATGCACAGAGCTGCTTGTTGTGATGGGCAGACTGGGACAATGCGGTAAGCTGATTCTATGTCGAAGGTGGCTGCTAAGGAGCCCAGTGGTAGAGAAAGGACCAATGCAGCTGTCTCTTCAAAGGTTCCCCAAGCCGTTGGAAAAAGGTTTGCATTGATACCAGAATTGGTGGATGATGTCGATGGATCGTCTCTGGGAAATGACAGGTCCTGGATTATGCAGAATTTGTCTGAGTTCAGCTTTGGCACTACACCTAGAGGTGAGGTGTGAAAAGGGCCAATTAGAGCTTCGAGCTTGAGGGGCAAGAAGCCTCGTGAGTAGCGGCCAGCTCTCTGCTCTGAAGTAATGTATGCTTCGACTATAGTGGGGTGGGATAATGCTGAGCTGTGGTTGTTGAAATATACGGGTATGTGCAGGGGGTTCATGAATACCAACATCAAAGCCTGTCCATAGGCCAGAAAGGATATGGGACCAGTCACTTAGGATATCGTATTTACATAGTAAATTCTCAATGCAGTCGGGTATCAGAGGAGTTGTGATGCAGCATGGATCAGATTCTGGGGTGGCAGGATGCAGCTCCATGGGATGACTCACCACAGACTGAACAGCTGTGCACATTTCGACATTCAGGGCCAAATGAGCAGGAGGAGTGTGCAGCCCAGTTGAAGCAGAAGTGACAGCCATCAGGCACAATAAGGGTATGTTTGCTCTTTCCATTTGATGCAAGGGTTGCAACTGGTTTGCCTGCTGCAGTGGATGAGGCTGTGCAGCTGGATGGTAAGTGCCCTGAGTGGCCACAGCAAAAGCAACAACCATGATTGTTGTTGGGATGCACTGGCCTTTTACAGGGGAAGGAAGGAAGGTCATTCAGTGCTGCATGCTTGGTGGTGGTGGCTATAGTCAAGCTCTGCACAGCGAGGAGTGCACAGTTGTTTGCAATGGTTAAGGCCGCCATGTCAAGGCCCGTGAGGTCATGCTCTGGGTTTGCATGTGCAATCTCGCGCTGTTGTATATCATAGTGCATGGCCACTAGCCAGCTGTGTGATGCACTGATACCGGTGACCACTTGGTGGTGGGATGCCAGGGCATTGGCACGTTCTTCCCCATGGTGGAAGCGAGTACGCTCTTCTGCAGTGCATGCAGCGTTTATCCAATCTGCAGCAGATATGGACAGTTCATTCGCCCGATCGAGTGACTTTGTCGCAAAGCCCTCCGGTGTGAGGATATAAGCTGCGTCCTCGCCTTTCATGTTCACTTTGGCATGGGCCGAAAGGGTTAAGAGGGAGTATGGTACATAACGGTACATTTTGAATGCTTCTTCGACTCTAGACGAGATTGCTGTGGAGCGCCAGTCAGACTGTGCTCAGTAGGTTCAGAGGTAACAATGGGCAAGGTCGTGGCAGTGTAGCAAAGTGGCAGTACGGTGGAAACAGTATTACGGTGAGCAGAAAACGGTTACAGTGTACGGTGACGGTTAAACGGTGTGGTGGCACGAAGGTGATAACCAATCCATTGTTTACGAATAGCATGGGAACAAGGTCAAGACTTACGAAGGCTTAAAGGGCTGACTTTGAGGCCCGGTCGAATTGGTGGGAGGACAATTCGTTTGGCATCCTCCTTGTGGGAGGTGGCGGCTTCGCGAATTCGCTCTAGGGTCATTGCATCGGCCACTAATGGTGTCTGAGTTCCAGTGTTATGGTTGCCTGGGGGAGTGGGCTGCTCCTGGTCGCGTCGGTTGTTGAGCTGATCCATTAAGGCTGCTATAATGGCTTCGTATGTTGCTGGTGTTGGGGGGTCCAGGTTTGTTGTCGTGTGATCGGCCGGTGGGTTGGGGATATTGGCTTGGCTGGTTGACTGCGCTGGTGCGGTCAGCTGGACTTGTGGCTGTGCAGCCTGCGCTGCGTGGGGCTGAGTTGTCACTGAGTCCGATGACTCAGATTGGGTTGGTTGTTGGATGAGCGGCGGAGGGGGTGGTGCTTGGGACTGATTCCTGGTGGTTTGTCTGGTCTGCGGGCGCCCTGGCTGCGACGGCTGAAGGGTCTGATGGGGTGCTACTGCATCAGTTCCGGACACTGTAGTAGAAGATGGTGCACTGCTCGAAGGGTTTAGTTGGAGGCCTAGGTGTTGATGCATTGGGTTATTGTAGGAATAAAAGGAACGACGAGTGAATCGAAAGGAATGACAATTGGGCGAGGAGCTGGAGTGGGAGCAGCGACGGTCTGTTGGGGGGTGTTCGTCTGATGCAGAAAGGCAGGGTGGCAGTGCTTCAGGCTTGTCGCTCGGATGGACGTTTGCTACCAGAGGTAACCGGCATCTACACTAGACAGAAGTCCTTGCCGAAGCTTTCAGACAAGCAATAGGCGAGTAAACATGCACATCACACGGTTTTCATTCACCCGTTTGGTGAAGTTTCACACTCGTATCTTCACAGGGAAGAGGTTCAGTCACAGAATTGACACCAACTGAAGTTGAAAGCCCTCACGGTGGGTATGGAAAAGTCGGATCACACGTCATAGTTGGTCTGAAAACAGTCAGAGGAACGAAGCGTGTCCGAGACCATGCAATGTATTGGCCGATCAGACGCATATGCATCATTCTACGACTTGAATCGGAGACGTACGTTCCACTACCAAAGGGCGATGTGCATAAGCGGGAGGAATTGGTCCAAAATGTTGCGCTGGGTGACCTCGGTGCGGCTAGCGTACGACCACAGGACGATCAGGATATCATGAACGTCATGGGCAGCCAATGCGGTCGGTCGGAGATCACGGAAATCTGCGAAGAAGTGAGCGAAGCTGTGAAAGGTTACGTTAACCAAGGTGTCGCAGAGGTGATACCAGGTTGTCCTCTTCAGCGACGTGTCACCATCGATGAACACGACAGCCTGGTATCACCCCGTATGCAATGCCATTTGTTGGATTCTTGCTGTGAGAAGCTTGACGTCGCACTGGACAAGTACATGTTGGATATCGAATGATGTATCAGAGTGCGCTTCTCAAGTCGCTCACAGCATCGACAGTTATACTTGCTACTAACAGGGACAAAGCCGCTGTCTGTGGAACAACTGATGTCGTCTTGCCACACTAGTGATTTCGTATGGTCGCTCAGCGCTTTGCGACTTTTCAACAACAACAGGTCTCACCCGGATAATTGCTCAGGCAGCCCAATTATGCGCCAATGTCGAGGGACTCTGACTTGGTCCAGGCGTGCTGGAATGATCAACAGAAGAAGGGGAGAGAAGGTCGATGTGGGGAGTAATTCCCTGCCTGAAGTGGTATTGAGCGCCATCTGCGATTTACCAGGGCGCATTCATTCTCGCTTGCCTTCCAAAAAGAAACAAAATTGGGGTGGAAGATATTGGGGAGATGAATAGATTGTTCCTCGATGCAAAACCGTCAACTAGGAATATAAGTTCAGAGGGCGGATTTGATGGCGGTGTGGTGCATGTAGCATGCAACAGTGCGTGTCCTCTGTTTCATTTGTGAACAGAACTGTGCCTTCTTCCTCGGGTGGCCACTAGCACATACGTAGTTGCGCAGGGTTCTCCCTATCCGGCATGTCAGAAGCCTTTCGAAAATTGTCGGAGTGCATATGACTTACTGTCCGGATGTGGTTGCTCCGTACTGGATAATATTTGTCCAAACCGCCTTCGCCATTATCAAAGAACAATGCCATGTAAAAACTCAAAAAACTCACTATCTCTTCTCGACGTGGACCTTTGTCGGTCCGCAAAACCAAGCAAACACAAGGAGCGTGTCAGACCTCTGCCGACGTCCCCTCAGTTCCTGGAGCATTGGGCACGTTATCAAGGGCGAAACACTTCTTCCGTGGGTCGACCTCGCCGCAATCAAGTCTTATCGCGAGAGAGACAGCTGAGAAGAGTGCCGGTGCGGGAATTTTGGAGCAACGGGAACGGTACCAAGCGGCTTCACCTCGCGAGGTCTGTCATTTATGTCGTCCGGTTATTGCAGTGATTCCGACTGATTCCGTTGGGCAGACTCGAACGGCGAATGACAACCCAGAACCAGTATCCATGCCAGCCGCGATTGGCAAGGATGTAGACGTTGCACCAAAAGCACTCGACAACGTTACCGGCATGTCGCGCAGTTGCAAATTTAGCCCTGTCAACTTCCTCACTTGAGCGAATGGGACTCATACATACCTCGAACCTTTGAAAACTTTTAATGTCGTCGCTACCTCCGTTGCAAACGTGAGCGCCTTCTTTTTGTATCTGTGCTGTGATTACATGCGCACGGAAGGTCCACCCCTGCACCAAACTTGCACTAGGAGTCTTGGTTGCTGCTTGTCAAGTACGTTCTCAGTTCTTTATGTGTTCCTCATTTCATCTATTTCCCATAGTTACTCGTCAATCAAGCAAACTTTGACGGCATGGTGTGCGACCTTCTCAGTACAATTAGCAAAGTTTACGCGTTTCTTATCGAAGATGATACCGTCAAGGGTATAGAAGGCATGAGAGAGACGTTAGGAATGACTGCGCAGGTCATCAGTGATGCAACGCGGTTCATTATAAACCATTCCAGAACGAAGAACTTCTGTAGGTTTTATGATACTCCGTCAGCTGGGTGTTCTGATGCGGCACAACGTCAGGGAAAAGAATATGAAGTCGGAAGGAGACACAGACTGTCGTTGGTGACTACGCCAAGTCTCTGAATGACCTGATGCAGCAATATCGCGACCATACGATCTGGGCCATCGGGATCAGCACAAACTGTGTACTTAGAGATTCCAACTTCGAAGGCATGGCTTACGCAGAGGGGGCAGGTCTCAATATGACCAAGGCTTGTCTCGACGGTACCAGGACAGAGACTTTGCAGGAGATCGTCAACTGGATAACTGATCTTAACCCTAATGCCTCTCGTATCTTATGGCTCCATGGACAGCCCGGGAGAGGAAAATCTGCCATTGCCCGTACCATTGCGTTGTGGGTGCAGAATGTGGGGGGGGGCTTGGGACCGTCTTTTGCTTCGCCCGTGACAGGGAGGCTGAACGAAGGGAGGAGAAGACTATGACCACCGTTGCTCGTGATTTGGTGGGTCGTGATCCAGCTTTTCGGCGAGCTCTGGAAGACGTGATTAGGGAGGATCACTCTTTGAAGACCACATCTGATGTGATGTAGCAGTGGAAAGGACTCATCTTGGAGCCACTTTCCAAGGTTGATGGACAGATAGTCGGAAACGTGGTCGTGGTAATCGATGCCTTGGATGAAAGTGGGCCTGAGACGTCGAGGACGCATATCCTATCTCTTCTGACCTCAATGGAAGCTGCCCATCTGCCAGCCAATTTCCGGATCCTTTTGACATCCAGACCACTGCCGGACATCCAACATGCCCTGAGGGCTGCTCCGCACGTGAAGTCAACCTCATTAGATGGGATTCCTCTGGAGTTGGCGGAACGTGATATTTCGCTATATGTTTCCAAAGAACTTGACCGTCTTCCTGGTATTGGAGTAGCGCAAGTCCAGAGGATTGTCAACGAGTCCAATGGTCTGTTTGAGTGGGCGGATCTGGCCTGTAGGTTCATCAAATCAAATCAAGTTGGAGCAACTCCGAAAGGATACTATGATGACCTCATGGCTCCAGAGTCTGGGAAAGGCAGAAAACTGCTGGATGCGACTTACTTTACAATCCTGAAGAGCGGTATACCCCAGTCTGGGAGAGCCCTCGAACAATACTGCTCCGTGATGTGCCAAGTTATGATGACACTCGAGCCTCTCTTCCTATGAAGATCTTGTGTCACATGCGCGAAAAATTCCCAAACGAGCAGCAGCGCTATAACATTACCCTCATCCTTGAGTTCATGTCTCCGGTGCTGCTTGGCATTGTGGATGATTCATCAGTAGACCACTTTGTGAGCTGGTAGTCCTAGGGAATCTGTCCAGTGCTGGACAGCTCTGGACAGCTCTGGCCAGCAAAAGTGATTTACTGATGTTCTTCTGCTGTCCAGCCCCTTCATCCATCCTTCTATGACTTCCTGACAGATCCTTCATGAAGTGGTGTCTATTCCATTGACACCTCTGATGCAAAAGACTTAGCCTCTGCTACATTGCAAATTCTTTGTGATGAGCTTCAATTCAGCATCTGTGAATTGGAAAGTTCCTACTTGGCCAATGCTGAGGTTTCTGAGCTGTCAGAGAGAATCAAGAAGAATATTCCACCCCACCCCTCCTACTCATGTCAATTCTGGGCTCACCATCTGGGGAAGACAACATTTGACCCAACACTTGCAGTGCTGGTTGAGGCCATTATTGGAAGTGAAAAAATTATCTTTTGGTTGGAGATAATGAGCCTTCTTGGGATAGTTGGAAAGGGTGTAGATGCTCTTGCTTCTGTTGCAACATGGCTACTGGTAAGTACTCCATGAGCAGACATTTGGTGACTTCTGATATCATATTCAAGGACCAAGATGGCTTCAAGGATGTTGGCATTGGTAGAAGATGAAATCACATTCATCCAAAACTTTGGGTGTGTGATGTTGCACAGCACCCCACAACTTTATGTCTCTGCCCTTGCATTTATTCCCCCCAACACATCATTATCAACAGTGCTGATGCCAAAATTCCCATACCTTGCTAGGATTGCTGTAGGAGGTCTGAATGGTTGGCCAGCCCTTCTGCTTGCTCTGCTTGGCCATACTTCTGAAGTCACATTAGTTGCCTTCTCCCCTGATGGGAAGAGGATTGTCTCTGGCTCAGCTGACAAGACTGTAAGGATATGGGATGTTGAAAGAGTTGTGCAGATTGGCAGTCCTCTTGAGGGGCATACTTCAGATGTCAATTCAGTTGCATTCTCCCCTGATGGGAAAAGGATTGTCTTTGGCTCAAGGGACATTACTATAAGGATCTGGGATATTGAGAGTCATATGGAGGTTGGCATCCTTCTTGAGGGCCATACTTCTTTCATCAATACAGTTGCATTCTCACCTGATGGGAAGAGGGTTGTCTCAAGTTCTTTTGATGAGACTGCAAGGGTTTGGGATGTTGAGAGAGGAGTGCAGGTTGGCAACCCTCTTCAACATATCTCTGCAGTCAAGTCAGTTGCATTTTCTCCTGATCAGAGGAGGATTGTTTCAGGCTCAGTGGATAACACTGTAAGGGTTTGGGATGTTGGAAGAGGTGAGCAGATTGGCAGCCCCCTTGAGGGCCATGATTTTGTAGTTAGATCAGTTGCATTCTCCCTTGACAGCAAGAGGGTTGCCTCAGGCAGTCAGGACAGGACTGTGAGGGTCTGGGACATTGAGAGGGGTATGCAGATTGGTGGGCCTCTTGACTGTAAATATCAAGTCAATTCAGTTGCAATCTCCCCTGATGAGAGGAGGATTGTTTCAGGAGAGGAGCACACTGTGACATTCTGGGATATTGATATTGAGAGAGGTGTACAAATTGGCAGTCCTGTCCATCATCCTTCTGTTGTCAGGGAAGTTGCATTTTCACCTGATGGAAAGAGGATTGTCTCTGGCTCAGCTAACAAGACTGTAAGGATATGGGATGTTGAGAGGGGATTGCAGATTGGCAGTCCTCTTGAGGGCCATACCTCTTCTGTGTTTTCAGTTGCATTCTCCCCTGATGGGAAGAGGGTTGTATCAGGTTCTGTAGACAAGACTGTGAAGGTCTGGGATGTTGAAGGAGGTTTGCAGATTGGTGGCTCTCTTCAGGGTCATATTTCTGATGTTAGATCAGTTGCATTTCTCCCTGATGGGAGGATGAGTGTCTCAGGCCCAGTGGACAGAACTGTGAGGGTCTGGGATGTTGAGAGAGGTGTGTTGGTTGGCATTCCATTTGAGGGCCATACTTCTCAAGTGTATTCAGTTGCATTCTTGCCTGATGGGAAGAGGATTGTCTCAGGCTCCTTTGACAAGACTGAGAGTATGGGACATCAGGAGAGGTTTGCAAATTGGTAGCCCTCTTGGGGGCCATACATCTGGTGTGTATTCAGTTGCAACATCTTTTGATGGGAAGAGAATTGTGTCAGGTTCTGTAGACAAGACTGTGAGGGTCTGGGATGTTGAAGGAGGTGTGCAGGTTGGCAACACTCTTTTGGGCCATAATTTTGTTGTCACTTCAGTTGCATTTTCCCCTGATGGAAAGAGGATTGTCTCAGGAGGGAGTCCCAATGTGCAGGTCTGAGATGTTGAGAAAGGTGTGCAGATTGGAAGCCTTGAGGGCCATACTTCTTTC